CATTGAATTCTACAGTACAATACTGTAGAATTGTTAACAACAGCTTCCGCAAACATTAGTGTGAAAAACTCTACAACTACTTCGATCGAGTTGCTGAGGTGCATTTAGAGAAAGTTTGTCCCACACTCTAGTTTATTAGTTACAGATGACGGTGAAATCTTATCTTTAGTATCTCACAAGCATATCCAGATTTAAAGTATTGTCCACATTAAGAGAATTCGTAATTATCTTGTTGCTTTCAATAAAAATCATATAATTTTAAAAGATATAGAATTTTTTCCACTAACTACTTCCTTTTACTTATTTGAAAATCCGTAAATCTTTAACCAAATTAAACGTAAACAAATGTATGTATTTAATGTTTTCTTTTTGAAATTTTTCTTTTACGTATTTAAACAAAAAGGTTTTACTGTTGAAATCTTCAAACATTTAACAAAATTAACCAGTTTCAATACGAAGTGGTTTTTCATAGTCTTAGGATCAACCAAAAAAAATTTAAAAATTTGACTTGTTTTTTATATTGGCGATATTGAAGTAGACACTATGTCTTATCAAAACAAAATATTTTATTCATAAATCTCATAAATGCTTTTTTGTCATTAAAAAAAAAAAATTAATAACAATTTTAAATAGTAAAGTTAAAAAAACAACCTAAAATTGTTAACTTCATTTGCTTTGCTTTAGCAACTCTCCAAGCAGTGTTAAAATCTCAACGCTAGTCAATGTTACGCCTTCAAAAAAGAAAATAAAGTTAAGTCTTATAACTACAAGCTGACGTCTCTCATTTATCCCGTGCAAAATGACGGAAAGAATTATTATAGATAGGATTATGAAACACTATGCGCAATCTAATATCAAAGTCTCAACATAGATTTGTACATCACAAAAATCGCTTACAAACCTGATTGAACCCTAAAACATTTTAACGGAAGCGGTTTCCGTGGACACCTGGTTGTCATTATTTGTCACACAACAACTTTTTTATAAGATTCCGTCTATGATATTTGAGGCCAGCTAATAAACCGGATTATTGGTTGAATAGCTAACAGACAACAATGAGTAATAATTGGAGAATAAACGTACGAGTGGAAAAAAGTGACAAACGACGTCCCTAGTATCAGTTCTTGCATCGCAGCTGTTTGCGTTCTTCATCAATGACTACCAGATTTCTATGGAAAAAACTGTACCAGCTGTACATTAAACCACATCTAGAGTTTTGTATTTTGTAAATTACTGCACTACTCAAACGTGTCCAACAACGCGCAAAAGCGTTGATTTTAGTTAGGACCAAAAACTTAAAAAACATTTTAGTCAGGATCAAAAACTAAAAATATTCGGCTTAACTACACTCGAAGAACGCAGATTCTTCACACTGTAATGCAAAATTGCCTATTATTTTCAAATAAAATTGTTTTAATGTCTACCTATACCTGTCCAGGAGGTTAACGTTTTAAGCAAACTAAAATTGATTTAAAAAAATGATTGTAGGCCCACTATAGAAGAAGAACGTCTATTGAAGATAAAGCTCTGTCGCAAGATGATATAAAAATAATAATGATTTTAGCTTGTAAATTAGCAAAAATAAAGCACGAGTGTTTTCAATAATAATTTCAAAGAATCTGTTTATTAATACTAATCAGTGAATGTGTTTTGTAAGTGCTATTAATCCGGATGCGGTTCTTAAAAATACGAATTTAAATTAACAGTAATAGAAATAAAATAAACAGTCATTAATTTGTATAATTGTGCGTGCTTTTGATTTGAATATATGTATACTAATTAGGGCACCTAATTGCTGCTATGCCTCGGGCGTCATGAAGTTCTCTCCACGGCCCTGCCTATAAATAATCTGTTCAGCCAACCTTGCTCTGCTCTGTTCTGCCAATTGTACCAACCCCTTTTATGCCTTATCTTAATAACCTTTAAAGTTAAATTTGCACGAAACTTTTCATTCAAATCTCTCTAATTTACAGAGTTTGTTTATCAGTAATTTCTTTTTTTATACTATTTGTTTTTATGAGCCCTAATTTAAGTAAAATTTATTGAAATTACAGGTAAAAAAAAGCACCAAAAACAATATTTGAAGAGTGTACATGCAAAACTACATAACTCACTTTTTTTATTTAAAAAAAAGACTTAGCAATGTTTTTTTGTAGTACTAATACTCCTACATCTACATTTACAAATAACAATTAAATTTAAAAGTCACTATTTTAATAACATTTTACCTGCCTTAAATTATCCAGTTCGCGCAAAACCAGTTTAAAAAAATTATTGTCGATTCAGAACAAGACAAAAATTTAATCTAATCAACATTCTGTTTTAAAAACGTTTTAAAAAACTGAAGGACGTTATTTAAGAAAAAAATCACATACAAAAAAACTCACTAAAGTATAAAAGCCATATTTAAACATTTGAGCTTTAACTTCATCAATCCCATAAACATAAAAATTACTTATTTTCTAAGGCAGAGGGGCGTTTGCTCATTTATATTGATTATTAAAATCGTCACTAGTCGAGTTGACTTCATATAGACTATTTGAAAACCAGTTGAAAATATCTATCAAAACCAGATGAAAAATCAATTAGCATGCAAAACCAGATAAAACCTTTTTTTTCATTTTGTAATAAAAACAAGATCAAAAGAGCACGATAGTCAAATTTTTGTCTTAAACATTCTTTTAATAATACCTGTTGTTTAACTTTTATTTTTTTAATTTTTAGCTATTTGATTTACTGGAAAACATTTTTTGTTATTATCTTAGAATGAAAAAAAAGTGAATTATCTGGTTTTGTAAGTCCACTCCTAATTTAATGTAGTAAAATCGTTACTCACCAAAACTATTTTTGATTTATAATGTTGACTAAAATACACATCCGCGGAATATTTTTGACCCTAAGACTTTGACCAAGAAAAAATAATGTCGAGGATGAACTTCAAAAACTCAAAATAATTTTTTACAATTTTTTATTGGGAATAACTAAAGATGCGATTTGTTCGGATGACTTGGCATCTTTTGCTGCTAAAGATTGAATGTTTTCCCTTAACATTATTTGAGAGCATTGGTGGGGCAAACCTTTTTCTAAAGGGCTGAGGCATTTGCTGCCACAAACCTTTGGTTTTTTCTCAATATTAGTTTACTCTATAAGAGGATGTTTTTCTTGCGATTTTCATCATGATTCATTGCTTAATTTGACATCGTGGCAATTCACTAAATTTGACTTCACTAAATCAAATTCTGCCTTTTACAAAATTTGACCTAAATTTATATTTGATAACAATCCACTAAACAAAGTAACAAATATTATTAATTAAAAACTATTAAAATAAAGGAAATATTTACTTGATTTAATTGAGGTAATATTAAGTTAATAATTCTTGAATATTTTTTTTCTTACCAGGAAACAATTGTTTAAACCATTTACTTGTAAGGAAATTACATTATTGATAATTGTCACACTTATTAAACTAATAATACTTGTCGCACGGGTTGTTTTATTTCAAAACAACTCTTCAACCTAATTAATTATTCAGTTAGAGTAATTTTCCTCCGACTGGCCCTCCAAACTTTGTATTGGTCATATATCTTAGTTACCTTATCTAAATTTTTTAAGTCAGTTATCTTTGTCATTATAAAAAATATTTGGTTTTTTCACAGTTGTTCTGTTTTCAGATAAATAAATATTTTTATTTTTTATGTAGGTATCCCTAGAAATCCTTCTTAACCTTTTTTTTAGAATTTTTTTCCATTCTGGCAGTAGTTTATACCTTAGGAAATGTTGGTACATTCACGCTATGCATACATGGCCGTCAAGGGAGCCATAGCCTACCCACTTTTTTTTTGCGAGGACTTTTTGTTTTAGAAATATAGGCAATTATTTTAGAAATTATGGATTTTATTTTAGAAATTGAGGGGTTGACCCCCTCCACTTTGAAGGCCGTGTCAACGCCATTGGCATAAGCCAATTCAAATCACGTTTTAAAGCCAATTGCAAATCACTATTTTAGCCTATAAAATAAAAACTGCAGAACTAGGATTCGCTTAGAAAATTCTGAGCAGCGCTCAATTTGTCGTTCAACAGCTTTTTATGAACGGACGCTCGCAAATCTGCTCATAAAATTTTAGCGGGCGCTCCGCTCATTCGCTCACAAATCCGCTCATAAAAAAGTTTCAATAACTTTCCTAATATTTGCTCTTTAAATTCAGAAAAGTTTTTAAACTAACTACTTTAAAAAATGAAGGTGAAATAAGCGTTATATTAAACGTTATTATTAAACGTTAACTGCAGTATTAAAATTAAGAAGTTTCTCTGGCTAGTTACATACATGTGCTGTTTTAAATATAAAGTTAAATATATGACCGCAAGATGGCGCATTTCAACATGGAGTTAACTCCATGTTAACTAGTTCAATATTTGTCCGCTAGAAGGCGCAGAATAAGCGTAGTTTTTGAGCGCTCGCTTTCATCTAAATTTGAAAAAGCGTTCGCTCGCGCTCACGTTCATCTAAATTTGATGTCGCTCGCGCTCACGCTTCGCTCAGAAGTTTTGAGCGCCGCTCATGAACGAGTTAAATTTGAGCGGCACACATTCTAGGTCTGGAAAACTGTACATGTACCGATAAAATAATTATAACAAAAATTGTTGGTATTACATAGTAGAACACTCATGTAACTGTTATTTTAAAAATAGTGACCGAATTTCAAAGTATTCGGTAACGCTTTGAGATATAAGTAGCAAAAAACTGACAAAACTTCAACTAAAACTACAACAAATCCTACACCAGTCATTCAATTAGGTTGAAAATTTGTCCAGAGTTTGGTGTGACTATTGGCTACATTTGCACAAATTTTTATCAAATTATATTGAGTTGTTCAAATTCTACAAGTGTTTTTATTGGCGCACTATGAAGTCAAAATTTGAACATTCAAATTAAATTATTTTCCGCGGACAAAATTAAATGATTTCAAAACTTGCATCACAGGGATGTGTACGCTAATTTTCCGTATAAGTGGCGTTCTTGGGACAGCTAGGCATTATAAGGATCCATGCTAACCGTGTCCTACTCAGGTTATTGACAAGGTTTTAGATGCGTTGCCTGGAAATTAGGCCAAGATTATTAATAAATAATAAAATAATTCATAATTTTTAAAAAACGCTCTCACGCAAAGTAGTGCTCCGTATATTAATTACAGCTCGCTTTCTTTGATCAACTCATTTTGTGGATTTTTTAATATTTTTTCAAATATAAAGAGCATCAAATATTTTAGGAGACTTTCTTTAAGAATGTGCAGGAAGGAGTAATTTTCATTTTATTGAAAATTTTTTAATTGATCCTAATTTTTATTTTTACAGTTATTTTTTGTTAATTATCAATATGGTTAGTATAGCAATTACTTTGGAGCTTTACGGATACTTTTCTCTATATAATGGCTAATAGTGTCAAATTTTATAAGTGCATTGTTTTTTTTAACAATGCTAAAAAAAGTTATTCGTTTATTATTTAATTGGAAAGGAACAATATATTTTATTTGTACTTTTGTTTACTTTTGGTATGTGGGCATGTCAAGTATATCTCCATTATTTTTTTATCAAGACCAAGTTTCATCCAATTCTAAAAGCTTTTTAGCAGATAGTAATGGAAATGAAAAAATTGCTTTACCTTCTTTTTCCACTGTTCACGTCAATGTAAATTTCATTCAAAAATTTAATGGTTTAAGTATAAATAATGAATTGTATGTACCGTTTGAATTCCTTAAACATTACTATGAGATTTATGGTACTTTTGAAAAAGTTGAACCAGGAGATCCTTTACAATTTACATGGCTAAATGCTGATCCTAATGTTCTCAATCCTAATCAATTGACCTTTTTATCGTATTCTTTTCAAAGAAATTATCTTAATTTTCATGAATCTGATGTTGCTAACAGAGGGAGAGTAAAGTGTATCTGTGGGAAGTATGAAGTTCCTATTTCAACACAATGGGATAAAAAAGGTTATTATTATCCAACCCAAATAGCACAGTATGGTTTGTCACATTTGAGTAAACACTATATTGAAAATCAAATTAAAATGGACCGTAAAGAATATAATATTTTATTAAAAATAGGTAAGTTTTATAATATAATCTGATTGTATATATTGTTTATTATTGCTAATAAAACTCTAATATAATATATAGATGTTGTTACAGACATACAGGAGCTGTTAATGGTAGTGAAATGACATTTGGATAATGTGGATGCATGAACTTTACTATCAAATAATATCAGAAACCATACCAAGCCAGAAATATTTGTTGTATTTGCTAAATAAGTAGAGTGACCATTCCCGGTATTTATTCAGGAGAGTGCATTGCTAAGCTAATTTTAACTAGTTTAGTATTGCGCTCTCCTACATAAAAAACAAGACAATGGTCACCCTACAAATAAGTATTGCGATAGTATAACATTGCCAATCTGAACGATGGCATAATTTTGTTTATTGAGAATGTCAAATGTTAGAGCAAAAGCATCATCTTATGATGATGGTTTTGCTCTAATATATTTTTACAAGCTTTTTTAAGGTGCTATCTATTTTATTTCAAAGTGATTTGTCATGATTTTTTTTTTAATTCTTATTTACTCCCAACAAGACTGCAAGCAACCACTCTTAAACAGGGAGTTACTAGAAAATAAAAAATATAGTTAAAGAGCAAGGAAAGATTGAAAGAAGGCTTAAATAGTTGAAGGTTGTATGAGTCATGAAGATGAAGATGAGAGAGAGTTTAAAGGGATAAAGTGCGCGGAAAAAAACTAGACAAAATAGTTTTTAGAGCATGCATGGATATGTACAGTAAAACAATGTAACTTTGCTAAATGACGAGTCAATGAAGAATGAGAGTTGTATGGTGAAAATAGAGACTATAGCTTTTATGAGCAGCAACCATGATAGTATTTGTAGAAAAAAGAAAAAGATGCAATTTTAAAATGATGGGTGAGAGGCTCAAAGTGTGCAAATAAAGCAGGTCCAACTATGTTTATAATGCCTTTTTGGACCTTGTCTAAAAAAGAAAGATTATCTTTAGAAGAACTAGCCCAAAATATGACCCAAAAGAATAAATGCATGGATTATGGAACTTGATTCACTTCATCCCTTCAATTTAATCAAACCTAATAAACTATAAAATTATAAACTATACATTAATTTGAACTTTAAAATATAACAATATAACTTAGTACAAATAAGTGAATTTAATAATATTAATACAAGATATTAGTCTATTGCTAATTACATCAGTATTATTTAATTAAATTATACATTATAATTTAAAAATGTAATTGTTTTCCATGCTCAAGCAAAAGCCTGTTTATTTTAGCTTCAAATTACATATATAAAAAAATACACCCATGTGTTTTGCGCACGTTCAAGTGAATTTAAAGTTGAATAAAGAAAAAAAAAATTATATAATTATGAAGGCAGTTCTTTAATGAGTAATTTTATTATAAATTTATTTTTAAATTCTGATGATGGGTCATCGGTGAAAAGATTTTCAGTATTATTATTATAGTTTTTGGACATAAGTATCTCATATATATCCTTGGAATTAGAAAAAATGAGGTGGGTAATAATTTGCTGACCTCAATCTTATAGAGGTTGGCATCAGGTTAACAAAAAAAAAATTTATACAAAGGTCTTACCATAAAACATAGAAATGAGGTCAGCAATATTTGCCAACCTCAAACACTTTTAGGTCGGCAGTTAGGTCTACATTGCCGAATGCCAACCCTAATTCCGAGGGTTGCATATAATTGCCCAATAAGGCAGTAAACACTGTCTTTGCCCTTGTCTCTAGTGTCTGAACAGATAAGATATGTTTTGCAATTATTGTTGTTGAAAACTGTACCAGTAAATAATTGAACAGTGTTCCTACTCCACAGTGCACTTAATACTTCATTTGGATATTCGCAAATATATGCCATTGCAAAATCAACCTAAAGAACTCTTTCTCCTGCAATCCCCTTGTCTTTTTCAAATTCAGCTGCTTGAACTCTTTTTTTAAGAACATGTTCCTGAAATTTAGATAAATAGTAATTTCTCTATTACTTCTCCTATGCATCCATTTTTTGATTGTAATTGAAGATACACAATATGAACTATTAAAGCTGATTGCTTTAGTTGATAAGCAAAAGTTTTCATGTAGTTTTTACTTACACTGGTCTGAGGGTGTTTCTTCTAAAAAAAGTATATTTTTTGGCCTAAGCTTACAAAATGTAGAGAAATGCATTATCTCTTCTAAGCTTACAAAATGTAGAGAAATGCATTATCTCTTCTAAGCTTACAAAATGTAGAGAAATGCATTATCTCTTCTAAGCTTACAAAATGTAGAGAAATGCATTATCTCTTCTAAGCTTACAAAATGTAGAGAAATGCATTATCTCTTTCTAAGCTTACAAAATGTAGAGAAATGCATTATCTCTTCTAAGCTTACAAAATGTAGAGAAATGCATTATCTCTTTCTCAGCTTCTCAAAAACATTGTGAAAAAATATTTTCTCAGCTTTTTTCTCTTTCTATTCTATTGAATCATTTTGTTGGTCTTTAAATTTTTGTCTACTAACTGTTTGTTTGCTTTTCTTTATATGAATCCTTTTCTGCGCTGTTTAATTTTACAACTTTCATTTTTCACAGATTCTTGATTCTTTTAATTTTTATTGAACATTATTCTTTTTCAGCTTTTCGTTTTCCTTTAAAGTTTTTCTCTCTGCTCAAGATATTTTTATTTTTGATTATATATTAACCTAAATTTAAAACAGGAAACTAAATTTACAAAGACCTTAAAATCAATAATTAATAGAATTATTTAATTCATCTTTTTAAGCTAATTCAAATTGAAATAACTTTCGAATACTACTATGGTTGTTTTCTTGTTGAATTTATTAAAGACATTGAGAATAATTTTAAAAAAAGTAATTTATATCAATATTATATTTATGTTAAAAGCATTTACATTCAAAAAAAAAATTATATATAGTATTTATGATTTAGTTCCAATCCTTATCAATTATTTATTTTTTGATTTTATAAATTTAATGATTTTATCTGTGTTATGTCACATATATATCATTGATTTTAAAACTACATTACGTGTGTGACCGAACTTTTTATAATTTGTTTAGTTATTTTACCACAATATCATTAAAAAATATATTTTTCATTTTGTTTCTTCAATACTTATTGCTTATAACTAAAAATATTTTCAAAAAAATCTTCTAGTTTGCTCACAAATAAAACTTTTCATTGTTTTTTGTTATGTGTGTGACATCACAAAAAGGGTATTTACTGAATTCTAGTATTTACGCATAAATATTTTTTCAAAGTTAAATTTTTTTTGTTTAAATTATATTAAAATAGTTAAGAAAATGCTTTTATGTAATTATAACAATATTAAATATTTAATTATTGTGATAAATGAAAAATAATATACTAACATTAAAAATTAAAAAATTTCAAATTTTATTAACTGAAGAAATTAATATCAATAATTTCAACAAATTGTGTCAATAAATCAAAATTAAAATATATTATACTATGAAAATATTTTAAAAACTTTTTCTAAACTTTATGAAATTTTAGAATACCTTCTTTCAAAATACATCCTTGTTTTTTTAGAACCTTGTTTTTCATATAATTTATTTTTATATTTCATAAAACTTTACTTTCCATATCATCACATATTTAATAATCACATATTTTATAAAACCTGATTTTCCTTAGTTCTGTTTTTTTTTTGTTTTTTTTACTAGTCAACCAGAATTCTTGTCGTTGACCCTCTTTATTTTCTATGCTGAATAATAATATTTCATTAAATCTCTTTAAACTATCAAGACTAAGGGGTTAAATTTAATAATTAATATATCAGTTGCTTAAACTTGCTGTTTGTAAATGTCGTTTGTAAAGTTTGTTTGTTAATAGTCGTTCAACAGTTGCACAACAAATTTGTTTTACAATGGATACTTTATGTAAGTTATGCAACTTAACTTCAGTTGTATAATTAATTTTATGTTGTAAAATAATTGTTGTGGGAATAGAAACAAATTGGTTCCTACAAAAGTTGCTGTACAACAAAATTGCTCTGTACAACAAAATTACACAACTTTATTTTAAATTTATTTATACAAACCATAATTCTACAAGCTTAAGTAAATTAAATTACCAAAAAATAATTTGCCGAAGCTGTAGATTTGGCAAACATAACCTCTGGCTTCAGCGTGGTGAAGTCGAAGCCAAATTTTTGGTACATCCCAGATCAAATATATACTTTATTATCTTTATCTACTTTTTTTAAGCTTAATTATTTTTTTGTAGCTATAATTATGCAATTAAAAGCATAATTATTATGTACAAATATTTATTTTTTTGCGCTTTTTTATTATATATAGGAACAGTTGGTCATCAAAGATATCAGCTATATGATCAAGGTTTAGAAATGTTTATAGTAAAGCTAAAGTTCATTAAATTGTTGTCTTCTTTTGAATTAAGAATAGTTGCTACTGATTCAAATGAATACATAATGCAATATATTCTTGGTGAGTATTAGCTATATATATATATATATATATATATATATATATATATATATATATATATATATATATATATATATATATATATATATATATATATATATATATAAATGTATAATATATATATATATATATATATAAATGTATAATATATATATATATATATATATATATATATATATATATATATATATAATATTATAATATATATATATATATATATATATATATATATATATATATATATATATATATATATATATATGCACACACACACACACACGCACACACGCACACACACACACACACACACACACACACACACATATATATATATATATATATATATATATATATATATATATATATATATATATATATATATATATATATATATATATATATATATATATATATATATATATATATATATATATATATATATATATATATATATATAGATATAGTACATACATCAACTATCTAGTCGGCTGCTGCAAAAGAGTGTTGCTACATTGACCAAGGGCAGTTATTGTTTACAAGTAATTTCTAGTATCTAATAATTATAAACCACACTCGGTTGTTAAATTAAGCTAACCTATATGTACAAAATATATTTCTCATATTTAACTATTAGATTTAACCTAATTGATTTTAAATTTTAGCAGCACTGTAGTTGCATATATATATATATATATATATATATATATATATATATATATATATATATATATATATATATTATATTTTGTTTATGTAACAAATTGTTACCCTATTTTTGTTACATTAATTTATATGGTATTTTCAGAAAATAAAAGATAAAAACAAAGAATAATGATATAGAAGATTGTTGCCCCATGTCTAACCTTCAGTCAATGCAGGAGCACTCCTTTGCTGCTGCAGGCTACAAAATAGTTGATGTATGTACTGAAGAAAGCCAGAAGGCTATTTCAGTTTTTATGCCAGAAGGCTATTTCAGTTTTTATTTCTATTAATTATTTGGCCCATATCAAATCACTTGATATATAAACACCAATGTCTTTTTCTAGTTTTGACTTTTCAGTTTCCATTAATGTATTGTTTGCCAAAGTGCATATTTTTCAAAATTTAATCCTAGAATCTATTATGTAGACCATTCGTCAAGTTTATTTATATCATTTTGGAACAATTTGAATCATTTTGACAAGATATAGATGCAATTATCTTTTTATCATCATATAAATGGCATTCATTTATAAAGTTTGTTTTCTGTTAGCAATAGAAAACAAACAAGTGGTTTTAAATAACAGACTATCCACTTAAGAAGTTTACAAAAAATACCAGAAGTCAATGGCTCAGATAATAACTTTTTATGTAAAACACTATCAAGTCTGTGTACAATACTATGTTTCATTATGAAACGCATCTGTTAAATTATTTAGTTATTCTAATAGGTTTGTTGTACAACTCTTTCTTTTCATAAAACTGTTGTTTTTTTAGAAAGTAAATTAATTTTGATCAGGTGTTGCATAATACAATCAGCTATTATTCTTTTCAACACTTTACATGGTATTGAAGTTAACCAGACCAGTCTGTAGCTTGATGCTTTTAATTTGCTTCTTTTTTAAAAAAATGTGGTATTATATTTGCCTGTTTCGCTTTATTTTTTGAACACTAAATATAATGGGTATGATATGAGGAGTTGCATTCTTTTAAAACATAAGGATCAACAAAATCAAAACCAACCAATTTCAAATTATTAAGTGTTTTAAGCCTAGTTTGAACATCATTTTGTGTTATTAGAGCTTTATCTAATAATAAATTTGACGGTATATTATGCAAGGCAATAATTCTTATATCATTATCATCAACATACACAGAATGAAAATATTTATTTAGTTCAATAGCTGTAGTGGATTGATCAGATTTTTTAATTAGTTGATATTTTTATATTAAAATGTTTTTGTTTAGATGATGTTATGATAGAAAAAAGAAATTTAAATCAAATAGTTCATGGTTTGGGTAGAAATGTTTTCCGATCAGAAATTACACGTGATTTGAATGTTGATTTGGTTAAAGGTCTTTTATCAGGCAAGCATTCAGGTGATACATTTGGTATAAAAATACAAAAAATATTGAGTCTTGATATTGATAATGTTCAATATGTAAAAGCTGTTCAGTTTGTTTATGAAGATCACATTGCCAAGTTTATGGCAGCAGCTGATTGGCTATTGTATTACCAAGATGACCAAGGTGGATGGAAAACTAATGTTTCCAGGATTGTAATTCCAGAAATTAGAACTGATGCTGGTTGGTACAGTGCTATGGGGCAGGGTCAAGCAATATCTTTGTTATGTCGAGTTTACTTTTACACAAAAGACACTAAGTATTTAAATTCAGCCCTCAGAGCAACACATTTGTTTAGGATACCTTCTGCAAAAAACGGTATCTTAGCTATGTTGTTTGATAAATATCCATGGTATGAAGAATATCCTACTGTGCCACCTTTGTATGTTTTGAATGGTTTTATTTATTCTTTATTTGGATTGTATGATCTTTTAAATATTGCCAGTTCTAAAGATGCTGCTGAAGCACAATATTTGTTTTACCAAGGAATGAATTCTTTAGAAACAGTACTTCCATTATTTGATAATGGCCATGGATCATTCTATGATTTACGCCATATTTCTATACCAGGAAGCATGCCAAACAGAGCACGTTGGCAGTATCACCGAGTACACATTGAGCAATTGCATGCTATTGTTGAACTAACAAAAAATAGTGTTGTTAATAGAACCTTGCAAAGATGGATTGGTTATGGATGGGGCATCCTTGCTAAGCATAACTAGTTAATTATTGATGATACAGTTAATGTATGATTGTTTTAAACTTTATCTTAAAAGTTAATAATGTAAATAGAAATATAAAAAAGACATTTTTCTGATGCTTATAATATTCCTTCTTCTTTGTTCATTATTGTTATTTTTTGATTATAAAGTATACAAGCTCAGTTCTATAATTTGTACTAACTGTTGTTTTAGATCTTAAAAAATTACAAAAAGCATTAAAACTTTTTTAAACTCACTTTTTTATTTTAGAAGATATTATAAATCTATTTTTTAATTTTTTTTTTTTTTTTTGAATTCTTATGTTACATTTTACTTATTGTTATTATTTTATTTATTATCATATATAGCCCAAAGTATAAATTATGTTTTCAAATTAATTTTTCAAACTTTATTTGCTGTATAAATTTATTTTTAATTTTTTAAAAATCCTAAATTAGTATAAAATTTATAGATTTTAAAAATTAACTCTTGTTCTCTTACTTTTGTGCTTTTATTTTTTAGTTTTTTAATTGGCTTTATTGATTATTTTTATTGGTGTAGTTTTTATAAGTTTATTTTTTGAAGTAATTTCTTGATTTATTCTATTACTTATTTTTGTTGGTTTATTTTTATTGCCTCATTTCAAAGATAATCTTAAAGTTTGAGAAAATATTAACTAGTTTGTGTTTAAAACTAAATATATATTTATTTTAATTTATATTATTTATAGCAAAAGTGTTCATGAACTTATTTTGTATTTTCAATAAAACAGTATAAAAAACATCTGTTGGCTAATCTTGCCATTTTAAGGTCACAAAAACCATTAAAATATTTGAGGAAGCTAATTAAATTCTTTGTTTTTTAAAAAGCCACAAAAGAGCAACTTTTTGGAATAGATAACTTTTTGTTTACAGTTAAAGTATATATTTTTTCATTTTTCATTGCTTATATTGTTATTAGTTTTTAACTTTTGTTTTATCAGTTGATTTTTTTAAAGATAGCCACATTTATACATTGGTTGATTTATTCATAAATACAGTAGAGTGTACATACATACAATAAATTTGCCTTAGACACAGTGCAGTGTACATCCATCCATTGATTTACCTATAATGCATTGGATTATATTTGTTTAGTTTTTCTATAGAGTATTATTTTTTTTTTTTAATGATCTATTTTTAAGTTTTGTGCTAAAATAACACTGCACAACAAGTTATAGGTTTTAAAAAAAATCATGTTAACCATTCATGAAATTTTTTTATACTAATTCATCAGGGTTATATACTTGGTTTATATGTGGATGTGGAATTCCTTTTACAATACCTATGGTATAACTAAAGCAACATGTCCAAGTATTTCTGACTGTTGCTTTTTTGATTAAAAGAATGAGAAAAACAAGAAATATCTTTGTTATCCTAGCATGTCATTTTATCATGTTATCTATCTATCTGTGTCTTTAAATGTAGTGAGAATAAAACTATTAATGTACAAAATGTGTTGTACAGTAATAGTAGTTGTGTTGACTTCAATGTGATCACCATTTTCAAAGGACTACAGTCAGGATACACAAAATACTGTTAATTTCATTTCCTCTAGGATATTCAAAATTGTGTCTAGCATTATACAAGGAAAAATTGGCCACTGTGTGACGTGGATAATACTGGTACCAGCAACATCTGCAACCTTCCTTTATTTTTAAAGGTAAAATATGATATTGCCACATCTACACATCTAGCTGAATCTTATTTAGCAATTTATGAGGGGCCTTGGTAAGGAAAGTGCAGCATTTAGATACCTGGTTCAGAAATTTCCTGCATAGAATAAAGTAGGGAATTTTTGTGGGGCCTGACTAGATATTTAACAGTTTGAGCAGATCATAGACAATCTTCAATTGGCAGATTGGAAAGTATTCCAAATTATATGCAAAAAATTCCTCGACAACCATTGTTCTCTCAACTATATCAATTCATTCAACAACTGCTTCACCCATATGAGGTTCTGAGATGTAAAATGTCCCTTGAGTTTCAATGTCTGATGGCACACATTAGTTTTTCCGACAATATTATTAGTGTAAGTGATAAGCAGTGAGGGCTATTCTACCAAGATGTTGCTGTAATTTCTAGTAGATTGATGCATTTCTAGTAGACTGCTATAATAAAAAAATATTTTAAATCTGCTATAGTAAAAAAATATTTAAAAAATTAGAGATTTTCAAAAAAAAAATTCTTAAAGTCTTAAAAATTCACATAAAAAGTTATGATTTTTTAAAAGTGGTGCATAGTGGAGATAAACAGACAGGATGGCCAGCAACCTGGAAAACCTGGAAAAGTCAAAAGTATGCTAAAAAGTCAGGTAATATATTAAATTTTCTAAAAGTCATGGAAAAGTCAGGGAATTTTGATGGATTCACTAACAAAATATTTTTTTGCATATTAAAAACTGAAAATCTTTTATTTTATGCTAAATAATTATCTATTGCAACTGCTGGTAATTTTTCAGATTTTTTATTTTAATTGTGACTTTTAATACATAACAAAAAATTTGTTATTTCATAATGGCAGCTACACCGGAAAGCATAATTTCTTCTGATGCAATACAAACCATTGAATACACTTAGTTTAGTTTTTTAATAATCTTCATAGTTTTATGAAATAATCTTCGTATTTTTAGATACTTTTAGTTCCAAAATATTAAGAAAAAGTTTGTATTATACTTATATAAGTGTGCTTATATCTTTTGTTTAGAAAATAAATATATTAAAACAATGTCAAAACAATATTATTTCAGCAAAGATTGGTTAAATATAACACTTTATGCTGATTGGTTTTGACTATAAGAAGTTCTAAGTAACGTGTAACTATTTATAAGTAACTAATTTAAGTAACATAAGCATTCAGGCAGTAAAAAGTAATGAAAGAAGTAAAAAGCCTATAGTGTTTGTATTTGAACCAGTTACCAATCTATTTTTAATTTAGTAAACATTAAATCTAAGAATAGGCTTCAAACTGTATTGTAAAAGATACAAATCAATTAAAAACAGTATTATTCCAAAACAGTTTATGTGCATTGAGTGATGTAAGTTCTGCAGTCAATTGATAGCTATGCTATATGATATAAAGTCACAAAACCAGAAATTAACTGGGCTTTACGAGTTGTATCCCTGAATCTTATATAGGAAAAATATTTCAACAAATGTTTTTTCTCATCGTGGAAAAAATTGGAAAGACAAGGATTGCCTGTAACATAACTCATAGTATTACCTCCTTTCCATGATGTTCTTCTGCAAAATATTTTATATTTTGCAGAAGAACATCATGGCCAAATAGATATAAGTGCGCGCTTTTAGGATATAGAGAAACATAAAGCTATTACTCATTATTTTTTTGATTGCAGAGAGAGCTCTTGAAATTTTTGACAATGTAAAAACTTACATAGGAAGGTCATAACTACCGATGACTATTACTGCACAGAATGTTATTGAAGCTATCATAGATTGTTTGATCAAAGCTAAAATCAGTTTTTTTTTATCTGTTGCCAATGTAGTAGAATCATTTCTTAAGCAATTTCAGTCACGAGTCCTTTAGTTCTTTTCCTATATGATAAGTTTTATCATCTGATGTTATGCCTCATAAAAAGATTTATCAAAAAAGAAGTTTTTACAAAAGCTGATACATTACAAAAGTTGTGTTTCTAGAATGAAAAGTGCAATTGAAGAGATGTGGTGCTGTTTTACAGTTAAAGAATTGTAAAATTGTTAGTAGTCAAAAAATGTTGAGAAGAATGCATTGGCTTTTTAACTGCTGTAGTCACTAAATTAAAAGAGCGTTCTCCACTTTAATAAAAGGCTACAAGGCATTTATCATTGTTTTTGCAAAAAGTTATCATCAGGTTGCCTGTCAAAGTGAAGATGCGTTTTGATTTTTTAGCATCATTTCTACATGAATCTGGGCCTATGAAATCAGTCCTAGCTGATTAAGCTATGAGCCAGTATTCTTGCCTATGCAATTTGGCATCAATAAAAATGAAGAATTTTGAAAATTTTGATTTCACTAAGAAACGTTTAGATGACTTGACTAAAATTGTTATAATATTATCTTATGTCAGTGCACAATTAGAGCAAGGTTTTAGTTTTAACTCAAATGTTTTAGTAGAAAATCAGAATCTTTAATTGCGCAATGAAAAATTGGTGGCCAATGCTAGAACCGACTTTTCAATTTTAACATCAAACCGAATTCATTAAATTTTTAATTCATTAAAATTTAACCCTTTATTGTCCACAGTACAAGTCATTTTTAAACAATTTAAGTCAGAGGTACCATGACTTTAAATCAAAGAAAATTAAATATCTTCTTTGCATTGGACTGTTTTTGTTGTTTTTATGCAAAATAGTATTATTTTTTATAAAAATTAAAAAAATCAAATAACAGAAATCAAACACATTGCAATCTATTTTTAAAATGGATGTGCAATAACAGTAGCGTTTTGCAAGTTTTCTTTTAAAAGTTCTTTTAAAAAAGTTCTTTTAAAAGTTTTCTTTTTAAGTAAATTTGTTCATTAGCAAAATCCAATGGACAAATTTACTTAAAATGTAAACATCATAGTGTCTGTAAAGGTAGTGCAAAAATAGACCCTATCAGCAACCTGTTAAGTACCATCACAACTCATTCATGTGGTTCTTCCGCTCGCCACTGCGAGTGTCTAACAGCTCAAGAAAAGATGCATGAAGCTGTCTCAACTTCTCAATGACCTCTCAAGCAAATCTACCGAAATGTTATTTTAAATACATCATTTTATGCGCAACAGTCTCTTACATATGCTAAAGTTATTCAGGTACAACAATCACTTTTATGACTTTGTTGTTAAGCGATTATATATATATATATATATATATATATATATATATATATATATATATATATATATATATATATATATATATATATATATATATTTATATATATATATATGTATATATATACATATATATATATATATATATATATATATATATATATATATATATATATATATATATATATATATATATATATATATATATATATATATATATATATATATATATATATATATATATATATAGAGAGCACGTACTAAAATATATTTTTGCTCCTAGTTGTCTATTACATATAGTTATTAATTTTTATATTTGCTGCCATGATTAAATTCTAGTATGATGACTGTCATGCAGTTTAGCAAACTCTCCTACAGAAAAAAAAAGGATATATGGTAACCCATATATATATATATATATATATATATATATATATATATATATATATATATATATATATATGGGTTACCATACATATATATATATATATATATATATATATATATATATATATATATATATATATATATATATATATATATATATATATATATATATAATATATATATATATATAGAGAGAGAGAGAGAGAGAGAGAGAGAGATGTTTCAAGGAGCATGACCAAGCCAATATGATGTCAACCTAATTGATCCAGAAGAGGTAATCCTGAAGTTATCAGCAATCAACCCATTTCAAGACTACTTCAAAGGATTCATTCAGTTTGAGGACCAGATTAACCTACTTTTTGCATTGTCTTCACTCTTGACTTTTTTTTTCAATGTATGAAACAATGAACTATTTAAAAAAAATTTTCCAACTCATTACATTAATGTTTGAAAAGTTTAAAATGTTTGAAAACTTTAAAATTAAATACACATTTCAACATATTTATCATGAACTTTAAAACATATAGAAAAAATATATTTTTTCCTAAAGAGACAATGCCTATTTTTATTTTTTATATTTTCTTATTTTCAGCATCAGAAACCATTTTTATTAATGCTATGTTCAAAATGGTGCCGACATCTTTTTATGGTTGTCAACTCCTCAACCTTTTAACAAAAGTGAAAGGGCAGCTTTGCCGATCTGTTATATTCTCATGTCTTGCTAAAAGCAGGGATTGTGTGTTGCTTCACTTGAAAAGTTAAAAGAACTTGTACCCGATTTTGTACCTAAAATTGAAATGTCTGATTTTGAACAAGCAATTGGAAATGCATTATCATTTTGTTTTCCTAAAATTAGATTAACTGGCTGCTGAAATTGGATTCAATTAAAGGGTCCCAAGTTGTTTTGAGTTTTTGGCCTTAAGCACAGAACCAATAACACCTCAGAATCACTTCACTCAAAAATGAGCAAAAATATGACAGCTCTTGCAGGTTTTTAGAGGTTCCTTGACGAGCTTATCCAAGAAATAGTTTTGCTAACTGAGCTTGAAGTTAGATAACTCCAAAATGGTGAAAACCCTTGTAGGGGAGAATAAAGGGATAGGCAAAAACTTGCAGAGAAACAGGCCCTCTGTAAAAGTAGATTAAGCTCTGGTGAATGGACTCCAACAAAGTTTCATGAATCATTAGCATATTTGTTTTCCAATTTAAAGATACCCACATATGAGGTAGTTAATGAATTTGTTTAGAATGAGCTTTTCACCCCTGAGCCACTAGCACAAAATCCGACTTAAGAACCACCAATTGATGGTCTTTGTAAAGTTTGTTGTGTCCAAAGACTTGAAGTTTTAATTATACGATGCAGATATTTTGCATTTTGTTTACAATGCAAAGAGATTCTTTCTATGGATAAAAAGTGTCCAATTTCTAGAACTGAAATGATTGACTTTGTTAATGTTTTTTATTAAGAATTTTTCCCCAATCAAAAAATGCTCATCGCAAAATCCTTTTAAACATTGTAACATTCTTCTACTACTTGTATGTAGTAACTCATCACTGAAAATAAATGATTTGTTTGCAACTCTGTTTTTTTGTTTTTTAATTCAAAAAATATTACTCTAGTTTATATATATTTTTGTCACTTGGTTCTTAATTAATTAATTTTTTAATAGTCGATTGTAAATATTCTATTAAGGTCAGTGTATCATTTATTCTGATTTTTCATGATGACATGATTTTTCAACTTTATTTATTTTTTTTTACTTTTTTTGTTTTGATTTGTTTTAAAATGTTTTTTTATTTAAATTAAAAAATTTTTAAAAAAACTTCTATTATTTATGTAAAGTTGTATAAGTTTTATTTGTTGCCCTTTTATTGCTACATTTGTTAAATTTATATCGGTAAGTCAAAGAATTTATATTGTAGTCAAGGAAAATAAAATCAAAAATTGCCTGGCTACCCAGACAGCCTTTAAATTTGAAATCAGAACATTTGAATTAGTATAAAACAGATATTGGCTTTTGTAAATTTTTTTTGGTGTTGTACAGTGAGATTTTATTTTTTTAAAAAAAAGTTTTTTAAAATTTTTAATCCACCTCACTATACAAAGTTATACACCCCCCTTTATTTTTGGGGGGGTCGGAAAATTTGCATGGTCAAAACTTTTGTAATTTACAATATTTTTTTACAAAATTTAAAATCTGTCGATAAATTTAAATTTAGTTTTATATAGTAAAGTTGAAAATTTTACTACATTGGTACTCTCATGTTTGGGCTTGGGGGCCTGCATTTTCCAGCTTTTTTGTTCCCAGGCCTACATCATCCCAAAACTTCAAAACTGTGTAAAAGCAACTGGTATTGATCCTTATAATGCAACCATGGTATCCTTTTCATATATCAATCATGGTATCCTTTTCATAAAACATCTTGATGCTGTACATCTCAGAACACTCAAATTAACATTAAACATACCATACTATCCAATTACAATTGAACTGCATAAAAATGATAATCCACGTGTCACTTTCTTTAAAAATTTAAATTTGAATTTGAATTTTCTTAATGCATGTTCTTAATTACATTTTATTTTATTTTTTAAATTTGTTTAAAAATATAACTGCAATGTTTTTGGTTAAATTTTAGTTAGAAACACTATTCCTTAACTTGCACTACAGTTTTTTTTTAATTTCTGAAGAATTATTTACCGAATAATATTTATTAATTTATTATGTTATTTAAGTAAAAATTGTATGTGAAAACATTGTTTTTTTAACTTCAAATAATATGAGTTTTTTTTAAAATTATATTTAGTAAAGAAATGAATTTGTTGTCTACTATTTGCTTCACTTGGTTTATGGTTGTTTTCTGTATTAGTGGGCTGTTTATCAATTTCTTGCAATTATTAGTGATACCATTATATTGGCTCAAGAGAGACTGGTATCATAAAATTATTCCTGGTCTTGCTTATCTTATTTATTCTCGTATGATATTTATTTGTTTTTATTTTCATAAATTTATCATATTTAGCTAAATATATTTTTTAAAATGTATAATGCTTCTATTAAAAACAATTCTTTGTAGACAACTTAAACAATTTAGTAGCCAACAAGCTACAAGACTTTTGTCCTTTTTAACTTTATTAATTCTAAACACACTTTTTCCTGACTGGTATAAAAAATTATTAATTGAAAATGTTAATGTTTACATGTAAAAATAGCATTATATAAAACAAAAAATATTTTTATTTATCCATAACTAAAGTTAAACTTCTGTGCTTTTTTTATGCCACTGATTTCATAAAAATATGTAACACAATCTTTGTTCTTGGTTATTCTGCCTAAAGCCATTGTAAAAACTACTGTGTTTAGCACAAATTATAGGAGACATTCTTTATATAGTTTTTAACCTTGTTGTTATCTAGGAAGCCATGAACAACTGCGATGAAACCATTTTGAGTTTTTTTTTTTTTGTTACTCTTTCTGAGATAGAACTCAGTCTGTTGCAAAACAGTCTTTTTTGTAATAGTGCATCTTGGTATTACAGCTGTCTAAGAAGCAGAGGAAAAAATAAAATTTTATGTAACTGCTTTAAAGGCCTAACAGGATTGACACCAGCTGTATTTTATTCAAGTGTATTTGTTTGCTCAAGGCCAAAGGGTTAATATAATCAAGGTAACTATTTTTTTTAATTATTTTAACAATTCTCTTAGTTAAGTTTTAAAATTATTTTAACAATTTTCAAGGATAATGTCTTGACTTATTAAGCCTAAGGTCTCAGATTGTTGATGCGTTTTTGGTTAGGGAAGTTTGGCCATTTCTCCTCAACTGCATCTGTGATATTTCCTCACTATGTTATTTGTTGATATATATATATATATATATATATATATATATATATATATATATATGTATGTATGTATGTATGTATATATATATATATATATATATATATATGTATGTGTATATATATATATATATATATATATATATATATATATATATATATATATATACAAAAATATATTTTTAAACAGTTTAAAAATATTGTAATATGCCTTGTAAATATTAGTTTATTAACAATTGGCAATTTATTCTTTGAGAAGATGGATGTAAATAACACATTTTTTAAAATGATTTTTTTCATGATGATTGATTGTAATGACTGACTAGATTTGCGTTAGAAATGTCGTTTTTATTCTGTTGAAGAGTTCTTAATCCTCAAAGGGATTCCCATGGAAACAAGTTGTGTTTGTTTTGTAAATAAACAGAAAATAAGTTTAAAGTCATTATCAAAAGATATTCTTTATTGAGAAATTAATAAAAAATATTATTGTTTTGCCATTATATTTCCATTTGAGAGGTTAACATTAAGCTACATCAAGCCTTTTAATATAACTGTAAATTTTTGACAAAATAAAAATTGTAATTAAACAAAAAATATCGCTTTTCTAGTTTATTTTATTTTTAAGTACATTAAAACATTTTTTTTTTCATTTACTGTGAAATCAAATTTTTTTGCATTATTTTTCACTCCAAAAAAATAAAGTAACATTTTTGGTTTTAAAATTTTATTAGAACTTATTTTTAGCAAATATCAGGATATATTTTCAAATGATTTATCTTTTATTTGATTAAAGTTAGACTTTTAAAATATAAATTCTGAAATCATATGAACTCTGGTATGTATGATTTTAAAGGGATCCACAAGTGGCGAGACAAGTTGTGTTCATATCTTTAATAATCATTTAAAAAATAAGTTATTTATTTTTTAAGTTATTTTGAAAATTTTTTTATATTGACATCATTTATTAATCAGACAAGTATATTTTTTTTGGAAAAAAAAATTAAATATCAGGAATTTACCAAAAAAAAAAGTAGATTATTTGTTAATATCTTATAAATAATTTGTTATGGCAAGTTTAATTAACATGAAACTTATTTTTTTTAAGATTATTTAAGATATGAACTCAACTTGTCTTGGCACTTGTGGATCCCTTTAAAATCATACGTACCAGAGTTCATATGATTTCAGAATTTATATTTTATACATTTATAAAGTTATTTAGAATACAAGATACAAAATACTGATTATAATATTTTGTATAGTGATCGACTGAAGTTCTTTTTTGGTATCAGTTTCTGCTGAAGTATCAATTTGAACCGAGACCAAATTTCTGTTTGAGTAGATTGTATAAATTTGGTAAAAAGCAAAATTTCAGTTAAAGAACATACCGAGAATCATAGTTTCAATTTTGTATCATTTTAAGTTTTTATTAATTTAAAAAAAATGGTATTCTTGACTAATTCCACAAAATATTTCTAAATAAAAGCTCATTCACAAATTACTTAACTTGTTTAGTTAGTAAATAGCACATATACATCTGCTTCCTCAAAATATGAAAATCGCAAATAATCAAACCATTGCTGTGCGCATAATATTTTGAAATATTTGCTCTGATAACATTTTGTTTGAAGAAAACAATTTTAGTTTAAACAGTTTAAATAGAAAGTGAATAAGGATAATAATTTGATGATTATAACTTTTAGTTAATTTTCTTGTTTTTCTATGAGTAAATTCTAATTATTTATTTGACTATTATTAGGGCGGGTCCATAATCATCTTTTTTTAAATTTTTTATAGTTTAACCAATTTTTCTTAATTAATTTTTCATGCTGATTCTGAAAATCACAATCATCTTTTTTCATTTTTATTATTTAGTCTTCTACTTCGATTTAAATAAAAGTTAATATATTGAAAAAAAAAGGCATTTTTAAAAATAGATGAAATTATTATTATCATTAAATATAAAAAAAGTAGAAAAGTAGAAATCTTTTTCTGTTTAATTTATCAATAATATACCTTACCATTTATAAGTAACAAAAAAATTAGGCATTATATATGAAAATAATTCATACAGTTTGTTATATACTATTGAAAATGGAAAATAACTATAAAAGTCATCATATGTAATAGAGATTGCTGCGGGAACTTTCCATGTAGAACATCTTGGTTATGAGCGTGTTCTTTAGTAGACATAAGATGGAAGTTTGTATTTTTATATCAACAATCATGTATTTAAACAGAATAGATCTCCGCGACAATGACCTACATTGTATCCCTAAAATAAAGAACCTCCTTTTTTGAACTTTTTTTTCATTTTAACATATCCTTATCTACTTCAATAATGTCTAGTTTACAGCTAAATGAGCTGCCTTGTAACTTTAATCAAACTAAAATAAAACTCATCTTGCACACCTGATGTAACGTTTGCTGCTTTTCCATTGTTATCCATTTGTTTTTGTAGCTGGTTTCAACTATATTCCATTGTTTCAACTTTTTGGACAAATAATTGCACAATAATTTTCCAAAATATATTTGAACTATGTGAACCTTCATTTTTTATATGGTTTAAATAATTAAGTTTACATCTACTGTTGAAATTAAATGGATTTTTTCCAAAGCTTTCCAACTGCAACAACTTAATTAGAAAGTTAATACTAATCATATTCCATCATTAACCAAACACATAATACTTTTCTCTTTTTTGAAGTCCTGAGGCTAACTTTTGCCAAAATACTCTAGCAAGAATGATACAATCATTCAACCACTTTGAGGTATACTTATTAACTGCTTCTAAAAATTTTTTTTATCTAGCTATTCACTGTGTTTTAGAGTAAAGCAGAAAATTTCAAAATTTGATCACCCAGTTTGTTTTTATAAAGCCTTTTAGGTAGCGGTATTCCTTTAGCCTATTTATCTTTAAAGTTGTTAAACCTTTAGAATTTTACTGAACTTCTACTGACTGACACTTTAAAAGAAGATTTATTCTTGACTTCGTTGAAGAAAAGCGAGAAAAAAAAAAAAGAAATCTTGAATAGCCTTCTTGATAGCTTGAGCAACAATTTAAAAAAAATAAAAAAAAAGGAAATTAAGATATTAATTTCCTTTTTTTTAGAAAAGTTAAGCTTCTGTGCTTTTATATTTTAAGTTGTTTAGGATTTGACGTATTTCTTCTTTGTATCTTTTGTATATCTTTTAATTTTTTTTTTGTGCTTGGTTATTAAATAACCTAAATAATCCAGCAAAAAATTCAAGTTTTTTTTTTTTTTTTACCTAAAACTATAACAATTAAAGAGTTAAATGTATTTTTTTTTATATAATTAAACTATAAAAGTAAATGTTAGCAATTTGTAAACTGGTAAAGGTTAACTTAAGTTTCTACCAACAATATATATATATATATATATATATATATATATATATATATATATATATATATATATATATATATATATATATATATATATATATATATATATATATATATATATATATATATATATATATATATGTATATATATATATATATATATATATATATATTTGAAGTTTGTAAAAAATTGTGGAATACACTTTCATTATGATAAAGTTTGTTGAATTAAGTAGTTTTGTTTTTAGAATTTACTTGGTTGGGAGAATGGTGGAGTAAAGTTGACTTTAAGCTTTATGTAAGCAATCTAGATGATATTAAACATTTTGGAAAAGAAAATTCTCTTGTAATCTCGAATCACTATAGCGATGTTGATTGGTTAACTGCATGGATATTTGCTGAGAGGGTTGGTCTCATAGGGGTATATAGTTGCTATTTACTATTTATAAATTTCATAAAGCAATTTGTTTATAAATGATATTCTTAAAAATCATTATGTTTCTACTGAAGAGAACAAAAATAATATCAAAAAGTGAAACTAAATACCTTCCCATTATTGGTTGGTGCTTATGGTTTTCTGAGTCTGGTTTCTTGAAAAGAAATTGGCAAGATGATAAATCAAACATTAATAAGTTGATAAACAGTATGAAAAGAAATAGTAATACCTTTTCAGTATGTTATCTTTTTATTATTTATCTCATATTAAATAAAATGGAACTCTTTGTATTGCAATATTATAATTGTAAGTTTACTTATATAGATTTTTGTAATGTGTGAAGGTACACGTCGAACTGATGAAAAGCTGCTTGCAAGTCAAGAATATGCTGTGAAAAATAATTTCATTCCTTTAAAACATCATCTATTTCCACGAACTAAAGGTTTTTCGCTCCTTGCAGAAGCACTTCACAGTAAAGGTTAGTTAAATTGTTACATTTACGAAAAGATAACTTTCATTGTTTGTAATAAATACATTTGACTATTAAAAAATGAAACTAAACAGTTTCTTTTTTATATTACTATTAATTTTCTTACATTAAAATTTTATCAAAGTTTATAAAACAGATTTATTTATTAAACAGGTTATTTAAGTTTTTGTATAGCATTCTTTGCTTTGAAGTGTGTTTGTATATATATTGCTTTGAAGTGTGTTTGCATATATATATATATATATATATATATATATATATATATATATATATATATATATATATATATATATATATATACATACATACATATGTATACACAAGGCACGAGATAAGAGATAGCGAATTGCAAAATCTGGAAATATTTCTGTTCATTTAGTTTTCAGTTTCTTAAAAACTTTCTTAAAATTCATTAAATTCTCAATTTCTAAATTCTTTTATACTGTTGTGATTAGCAGCTGTTTTTTAATAATTATATCATACTATATTGTGCTTTATTTTTTTAGCTTTATCTGATGACTTATAAAATGAATTAAAATATTTAAGTTTAAGTTTTAATTTATAATAATAATAAAAATAATAATATGGTTTTATGATAAGATTTTATATCATAGTTCAAGATCAAAATAAATATTTATTATCGAATAACAGCTATTATGTTTAGTGATCAAAACAGAGTTTACAGTTTTTAAAAAGCTAAATATTTAAAAACCGGAAGCATTTTCAGATATCACAATTCGCAATTACTTAATTCAAACCCTGATATACATATAACAGGTTATAACTAAAAAACGGTAATAACTTTGAAGGGGCATAACTATCTTAGTTCATTGGATAAAAACTTAATTTGAAAAAGAAAATAATAGTGTTTTAAGTGGGCAATTTATTTCCATATTAATTTTTTTCAATCAAACCATTGCGTCTTACATAGTCTAATCAGCGCCGAGTTGACTCAGAAAGGTGCTGTACAAGAGATTTTTCCATTTTAGAAAGGCAATAATTAATTCTTACCTTAATTAGTTATTACCATTTTTTAGTTATAACCTGTTATATATATATATATATATATATATAATATATATATATATATATATATATATATATATATATATATGTTTTCATTAATAAAGACTCATCAGAAATGAATGATCAAATTAATAAAACTTCAATTTATACCAAAAAATAAAATTGCAGGAAGTCGCAAATATTTTAACTACTGTAAATTTTCACACATTTGTGGAATTTGCTGACACTATTATAAAAAGAATAAAAAGAAGAAATGATTACTTATGCTTTTTTTAAAAAAATATTTTTCAAAAGGGGGGATTTAATATAACTATTATTTGAGCTCACTTATTTTTATAGTTTTTTAGGAGAAACTTATTTTTGTGCCTACGTTTAGAAATCAATTCCGATTTTTTGTTTAACAAACATTCTTGGTTTGCATGTGTAATTATTTCAAATTTTTCTTGTAGACATAGTATGCATTTTTTGGAAATATTGTTGTATGCAGGCACTGTTTTGAGGATGGACCAATTCAGTATAAAGTCATCAATATTTTTATCTTTTAGTTCCCATATATATTTTGACAGCATGGTGTCTTTTGTATACTTTTTATTTTTAAAAGAATGCTTATGATTGGCAAAATGTTTTTTCCACTCACCCTCTGTTATGCCAATATGTTGTTTTTGGATATATTCTTAGAGGAAACAATACATTTATATACCACATTTTTTGATAAACAACTTCCACTCATTGGAAAATTGTTATTTTGTTTACAATTACAATTTTCTGTAGTTTTTTCATTTAGGATTTCTTTTTTATTTAACAAAGCATTATTGTGACATAATTGTTTCCATATTTTTTGTGCAACCGTAACTGTGCTAACTTTAATTGTATTTCGATTTAAAATTTTATGTAATTTATTAGAGGGAGGGAAATGCTTATTGACCAATTTTTAAAACACTTTTCCTATATTAGTGGAAACATTTTTGCTATATGGGTGGTTAAACCAAATTACATTTCTAGTGCTATTTCGCTTTTTTGTATTCTTTTTTTCAGGGTCAAATTTTTTTTGTTTAAAATTTTTACATTAGTTCAAAATTTTGCATCATAGTTTATATATATATATATATATATATATATATATATATATATATATATATATATATATATATATATATATATATATATATATATATAATATATATGTATATAGTATATATAATATATATATAATATATATGTATATAGTATATATAGTATATATAATATATATATATATATATATATATATATATGTATATATATATATGTATATATATATATGTTTATATATAATATATATATATATATATATATATATATATATATATATATATATATATATATATATATATGTATATATATTATATATATATATATATATATATATATATATATATATATATATGTATATATATAATATATATATATATATATATATATATATATATATATATATATATATATATATATATATATATATATATATATATATATATATATATATGTATATATATTTTATATATATAAATACTATATGTATATATTTTTTATATATTTAAATACTATATATATATATATAATATATATATATATATATATATATATATATATATATATATATATATATATATATATATATATATATAAAACGAACTTAGGGGAACTGTGCGAGCTGCTCCTCATTTAAATCGGTGCTCTTTTTTAATTGTAATTTTTTTTTTGCAACAACGGTGCCTTTTAAATAGCATTTCAGCATTTTAAAATCGTTTTTTATGCAACAACCGTGCCTTTTAAAAAGCTTTTTTTTTTAATGACAATGTGTTTTTTATTTTATTTAAAATGATAATTATACTTTTATGAGAAAAATTATACTTTTGCAAGAGCCGTAAATAGCTCTCGTAAACAGTTTTAGGGAAGTGTGAGCGAGAGCTAAAGCTCTGGCTCACTCTCCTGGCTTCTCGCCTAGGCCTGTTATAATAATAATTTTTAAATACTAACATCTGTTTGTCAATCCATATTGGTAGTTATTTCAGAAGCTTACTTACAACATATTGAATATAATGCAATTCAACAAGTATTAACCATTAATGTAGCACCAATAACATTTAAACGATATGTTGATGACTGCCATGAACGTTTTTCCAACTCTGATAAAGCAAAATTGTTTTTGATACTTTTAAATTCTCAAGACAAAGCTATTTAATACACATGCGAATACCAAAATGATCAAGATCAACTTAATTTCTTAGACATCTGCATTTCAACTAATCATATAACTCATAAATAAAACTTTTGTATATACCGCAAAAATGCAATAACGAGTATACTTGTAAAACCGCAGTCTTGTATATCACCATATATTGCTATAGGAATATTTAAAGGTTTTCTTACAAGAGTTTATAATTTATGCACTAGTGATAATGTAGAAAAAGAAATTGAGTTCTTAATGATTATTTTATTGGAAAATGGATATTCTCAGCAACAACTTCTAGACATTGTAAAACATTACAAACCATCCAACAAAAAGTTGTCAACAAATTAACACAAATAATACAATAATACTTCCATGGGTTCTTAAATTAAGCCTTATTCTTAGACATGAGTTTCGAAAAGTTGGCATAAAAACAGTTTTTCGTTTTGGAAGATCTTTATCGAACATATTATGCCAAAATAAATCAAAGCTACCACCAAACAGTTACCCTGGTGTTTACCAACTTGAATGTACATGTGGTGCTTTTTATGTGGGTGAAACCAGAAAAAAGATAAAAACACGAATAGCTGAACATCAAAAAAACATGACTAAAGCGAACTGGAAAGCGTCTGGAATTGTCGAACATGCACAACATTGCAAAGGTATAATTAATTGGAATAATCCAAAAACACTTTCAGTCATCCCAAATAATTGTACAAGAAAAATCCGGGAGGCAATTGAAATAAACAGATTGCAATGTTGGTATCTAAAAAATAAAATTCTAAACCGAGTTAATGGCAACCTAGTGATGACTCACCATTGGAAACCATTTCTTGTTAAATTTAAGTTGAATAATAGAGACCTTACAATCAAAAATACAATTAAAAATACAATGAAAACCTAATTAAATAATGTAACAAATGTTTCTCAAAAAAGGATAAAAGAACCAGTTACTAGATTGAAAGTGTCATTTTTACATGGTTTACAAGTTTATTAAGAGTGGGTTATTCCCACTCTATGTACTCTATGCTTTCTTTGCGCTTTAATATATATTTTTTGCCAAAATTTTTTTTGAAATTCAATGAAGTGAAAACCAATCTTACAATGACTGATTTACAATGCTTTTAAATGATTGTGTTTAGTTTTTGTTCGGTTAAATCATATATTTTTTCAATATAAGGAATTTAAAATATTTGCAATTTTCTAGGTTTTTCGAATGCAACAAAATGTAGATATTGGTGTTGTTAATATAAGAGCTATGGATTTTCTCAATCAAACAAGTTGAATACAAGAGCTTTAAATAAATCATTATTAAAAAAATTGTTGTTTTTTTATAAGCTCTATCGATTAAAAAATAAGTCTTGGTCTTAGTCATGTTTAATGATCTTTTTAAAGTTCTCAAATACAACTTATATCCGTCTTGGTTGATATAAAATTTATAGCTCTTTTATTAACAACACCAATATTGGAATATTTCATTGAAAAATTTCAATGAAATATTTCATTGCATTCAAAAAATCTACAAATTTGTCAATAGCAAAAGTCATAGAAATGTATTTATATCTTATATGTTAACACATAATAAGTTTTTTACTAAAAAATTATTTTAACAAGAAATTTCAAATAGAATATGAAAAGCGCAATACCTTTTTTTTTATATTTTAATCTTATTTATTGTGATATCAAAATTAAACCTTTGCTATAATTGTGCAAGTTGTTTTTAGGAATTCATTTTATAAAGAAATTGTTTAAACCAAAAAATTTCATTCTTCTAAAGTTACCTTATTTATTTAAAGAATTTAAAATTTTGAAAAGTTTAAAAGAATTTAGGGAACTTTTAATACTCGCTTAAATAATTATAAATTTAATTAAATAGAAACTGCAGCATAGTCCGTATTACCCTGTGGCGTAGCAAGGATCATTCCTGAAAATCAGATCTAGCTACAGTAACAATATCAGATTGTTATTTAAATTATAAACAATTTTGATAGTTAAATATTTTTTGTAAAGGCTTCGTTATTTTTTGTTTCTTAAAAAAAATAGAAACATTTTATCGCAAACATTGAGTGAGTGAAATTAAAACTAAAATAAACCTATTTTTTAAAGAATCTAAAAAATAGGTTTATTCTGTTCAAAATACTTTTTTTCAAAAAAATAAAAATAAGCATTTTCTTTAACTTATGGAAATAAAATATCACTTATAAAACCAAATTTTTTTTCTTTCACTTTGTTGCAAAACAATTTGAACTAAAAACTGAATGAAAACATTGACATCAACCAAAAACCCTTTGAATGAAAAAATTAATTATACTTAAATTTTAAATAGTACGCTGGATCAGGAAGCAATAAATTAGTAAAATCTAAAAAAATATATATATTTTTTTAGTTTATTCACATGTTTTTTTAATATTCTATAGAGATATTAATAAAAAAGGTTTGTTGATTTGTCCTTACACTTTTATTTGCTATTATTATCAATTCAGTTCAAATGTAGATTTTTGATAAAATGAAAATTGTAATTAAAGAAGTAAAACATCTACTTTGTTTTATTTTTAAATACCTTAAAGTATTTAGCTATTATAGGCTTGAACAACTTTTTCCACTTTTTAATTATATTGTCATTAAAGATTAACTGCAAAAGGAAAAACTCAAATATAACATACATAACATGAGGCTTAAAATTTGATTTTCAGTAATAAAAAAAAAACTTTTTATGTAATGATGTCATTTACTAATTACAAAAACAAACTAATCTGATAAGTATTTAAAAATAATTAAAGAACCAGAACTTACCTTTAAAAGAAAGAAAAATAGAATTAAAATTATGAAGTTTTATTTTAAAATCTCAATAAATAATTTGTTTTGAGTTTAATTAGCTAGAAACTTATTTTTTAAGGATTATTTAAAATATAAATAAAAATTATAAAGTCACCTAAAATCCATTTAAAAGTATTGATATTTTTGACAATTATTTGGCAAAACTGTCACAGAGTATCATGTATGTATTTATGTATGCATATATGTAAATGTATATACATATATATTTAATAAAATTTTTGCTAGAATAAAATTTTTTTGAATATGTATTTACTAATTTCAAATTAATTTATCAAATAAGTTTTCACTATCTGAACTATTTTGCTGATATATTTACTTGACATCATTTTGTTATTTAGTTGCTGCAATTTATGATTTGGAATTTGCATTTCCTGATATAGAATCAGCAAACATGCAAAATGTTGTTAATGGAGGAAAGATTGAAGTTTTAATGCATTTCAGGTTAATTTTTTCTTTAGTATGCAGTATTTGATAAAAAAATATATTACTAGTTTTAAGTTGTTAAAAATAGCGTTGATAAAAGGATGTTCATCATTAGGCGTTACTTTTATTTCCTCCTATAAAAATCCGATAGGAGATAGATCTTGTGATTGGGAAAGCTAAGTCATTCTATTCAATATTTTATCATTCTTGAACGCAGTCAAATAATATTCTGAGGAAAATGTTTTGGATTTAAGCTTTAGATTATTTACTATAAATACTTTAATGAGCAGTGCCCATTATAGTATTTTTTTGCTTGAATTTATGCTTGAAGCAATATAGCAAGAGCTTTATTTCTTCAAGCATAAATTCAAGCAAAAAAATTAATAATAGAGTTATATCCATAAAAGTATTTTTTTTATATATATAAATTACCATGTTTTTTTTATATTACCATGTTTTTTTTATATATATAATTACCATGTTTTTTTACCATGTTTTTTTTATATATATAAATTACCATGTTTTTTTTATATATATAATTACCAACATATATATAAATACCAATATACAAATTACCATGTTTTTTTTATATATATAAATTACCATTTTTTTATATATATAAATTACCAATACAAAATACCATGTCGTTTAGTTTGTAATGATTATTGTTTTTTGATTTTTATTTTGATAAAATCAACCATTATTATAAAAAGAACAAACAAAATTTAAAAAATCAAGTGGCACTAATATATATAAAATTTAACATGTACTATGTTTTAGCTAATAATTTTTTTTTTTGTTTTTTTTTGTTTTTTTTTTTTAAATTGGGTAATTATTTTTGTTATTGTTTGTTATGAGAAATTAAGTTAATTATTTATTGAGAAATTGTCTATAAATATTCTTGCTCTTGCAAGATTATAAATAAAAAATTGTTATGAATTTTTTTTTTTTTTATATGCACCTCTTTTTTCTTTTACTGAACATTTTTGACAGAAAAGTTTGGTTAATAAAAATAATTTTTTTTTTTTTTTTTCTTAAGTAAATAGTGCGAATATCAAATGTAGTTGTTATGCAAAGGTTAAAGAATAAAATCCTGAGTAAGAAAGTGGTGAGCATGAACAAGAGAGATGCAACCTTAGCAGATGCTAGTTTTGCAATTGATTTGATATATGGTTTCCAAAAAAATTGAAGTAAGTTTATTCTAGAAGACGAACGGTAGATGGCTCATCAAGTACATTACTGTTCATAAGTATAGGAAGATCTAGATTGTTGCAATAACAATTAGTTAAAATAAATTGCGTTTTATGTGATTTAAAGTTGTCCAGCAACTGTAAGATTCCAAATGAAAGTTCTTGAAAAGGACCTAATTTCTGCTGTAGCAGAAATGAGGTCGTTTTCAAGCTCAAACGCCCCCTCCAAGCAATCAGAGAGTGTTGGCTTCTTATCATGATATGAATAAATGGTAATATCAACAGCAAACAATGCCACCTTAGATGTGAGAATTTCAGGGAGATCATTAATGTAAATTAAAAAAAGTATAGGGCCAAGGATAGAACCTTGAGGAACCCCTGAAGTCACAGGAAATGAAGAAGAGTACTGTTTATCATGAATAACTTTTATACTACAATTAGTAAGGAAAGGTTCAATAATCTTGAAGACTAGCTGATCAAACCCATTAAAATACTAGTCTTTGTAAGTCTATTTCAAATCAAACTTTTCTTTTCTTTTTCCTTATATATCCTAGCTTACCGGATCTGTAAAATATGGGTCTTTACCAAATCTACCATTTCTATACATATCTATTCCACAGCAATTTTTTCTATACCTATTACTTATTTAATTCAATTTTTTTTAGTAAAACATTTTGTTCTGAAAAAAAACTTTGAGAGCAAAAAACTAACCAGAGCTTATAAGAGATTTATAATTAGGTTTGATTTTTTGCTAAATGCATTTCATTGATAGCTCAATTGTTTAGTGCGCTGACATCAGTGTCGTTTCGGGGAGTTAAGACCTCGTCTTAGCGTAATAAATTTTGAAATTTTTTCAATCTTGCTTATATATTTACAGCAAAAAAATAATAATATAGCAAAAAAGATTTCTAAAATTCAAAATAAAATTTTAAAGTTTTCTCATTTCATAGATGTATTATACATCATTATTCCATATAATGCCTGCAAACTCAACATATGCTAAAGACGTTTACACTTACAGATGTTTGTACCTAATATAATTCAAATGGAACTAAGAAGATCTTAGATCGTTAAAACACAGTCATGAAAAGTTCATTCTTATGATTATGATTAAAAACTAAAGAATAATATCAGCTCATTAAATGCCTTTAGATTAGCATTTAATAGCCTCAGCTATTAAATGCTAATCTAAAAATTGAGCCAAAAAAATTTCCGTATTGATGTTGGTTTGTGGCAAAAAAAATTAAAAACTAAAGATGCTGCCTTAGCTATTAAACACTAAACTACAGGCTAAGCCGAAAAATATTTGCGCATTCTTTTCAGTTTGTGACAAAATAAACTTTTATACGTCAAATTTTCTTTTGAATTTATCTTAAATTTTTTGATTAATTTTTGTTTTTATTAGAATATATCCCATAAAAATATATTCCATAATTTTTTATTAAATGGAGTTTTCCTAAAAAATTTAAATAAATCTTATTTCTAGTTTGTTTTTCTAGTTTTTAAGTAATGTCACATAAACAAATTTTTTTGGCCTTAACAATTTATGAAAAAGCCACATTTATAATTTTTAATGGTATTAAAAGAAAATGGTGTAATTTTAGCTATCAGAAATTTTTAAAAGAGGGACAAATCTAAAATTGAAGTTTCAAATTTTCCACTTAAATGACAATATGTTTCATGTTTTTTCAATCTTATGAATTTTTTAAAATATAATAACATACATACAAAAATTCAAAACAAATTAGTTTGAGCAAAAAAGACTTTTAATTATTAGAAAAGTTTACTTATATTACATAAGATCCTGAATAAAATATAAGTGGATTTTTTACATTTTATATTATTTGTAAACAAATAACATATTTGTTTATATATATTATTTATATAGGGATGTTCAAGTGCCAAACCAACCATACAAAAACCATACAATAAAGTTTTAAAAAAATTAGTTTGTATTAAAAAAAATGATTTTTTGGTTTAGTGGCTTTTGTTAAAAGCTTTGAAAATTGGCATCTAATTATCTCATTTCAACATATTCGTTGTATCATCCATATATTTATAGTAAAAAAATAAATGTAGCAAAAAAAAAACTTTAAATTCTCAAAAGAAAGTTTTAAAGAAAGTTTTTTGTACGGGCTTTTTTTTTTTCTTTTTTTTTTCTTGCCTCCACAGCTCCGCAGCAGCACCTTCTGGAGTAGCAGGACTGTATTATCACATTTTTTCTTTAATAACATAAGTATCTTAATCATGACACATAGGCAAAAAACTTTTTTCCCCAGTGTTTTGATGCTTTTTTGTTTGTTAAAGTGTATAATATTGTTACATATGTTTTATATAGTCTCTATAAAGCTTCGAAAGTATTTTCTATTTTAAGATAATCAAAAAAAAATTAAAAAAAGAAAAGTCGACAGTGGTAGGACTTGAACCACAGCTTTTTAGATCAAAAGCTCTGCACACTATCCTTTTGTTTACACTAACACATTGACTTTTTAAAACTATATAATGATTTTTTTTACAGAAATTAATGCAATAGATCAAAATTAAGGAGATATTGCAGCAATGCAGTTTTCAAGTGAAAGTCAAACTGTAAAACTTGATAAATGTTTCAACATGTTTAAACATTACTTAATTTGAAGTTTATGTACGTTAGATCTTTGCATGCTCGTTCATTCACGTTTTCTTATAATAAAAGTGCTGCAACTCTTTCTCGCCACTACCTCGATTGCAATGGCTGCCAAGTGTCAAACACGCTTGCATGGGCACTAACACTACTAACACTATTAAGTTTGGCAATAATATATAAAGGTGTTACCTGATTCATCCTAAAAAAGTGCTTATGGAGAAGACCAGCATGCCAAACTTTATCAAAAGGCTATAGAAATGTTGTGAGTGATAGCCTCAGCCTCTCCACATCTACCTAATGTGCAATAAAACCTATCAGTTTACCGTTAAAAAATCAGCAGTAGAACAAGAAGATCAAAATCAATATTTATGATCAGAAAGTTATTATATTCAAGATGAGAAGTTAAGTGTTTGTTAATTAAAGTCTCAAAAACTTTGCTTCTGATAGGAAGAAGACTAATGGGGCGGTAGTTAGACAAGTCAGATTGCTCTCCAGAATTTTTTAAAATAAGATTAACAGATGCTGCTCTCCAGCAGACTGTAAAACAAGATTCTGATAAGCACTTGTTAAGTAGTTTTGAAAGTATAGACGATAGCTCCAGAAAACACTTCTGCAAGACTATAACAGGTATGTTGTCTGGACCACAAGCTAAGAAGAGACTAAGCAGGAAATCACTTTAGATACAAAAGTTGGAGTGATACTAACGTCAAGCAATAGATCAACCTGTTTGTTGGCTATATCAGGTTGGTTGTGATTAGTGGAATCAAGTGATAAAATTAATGAAAAGTTTATAGCAAACATTTAAGCTTTTTTTTTAGGTGAGGTAACAAAATATGAACTATGCAAGAGAATTGCTGATTTGCCTTCATTATAGACACTATTAAAGATTCTCCAAAAGTCACAAGATTTTTAAAGATGAAATGACCTAAGCAGCACAATGAGAGGAAAATCATGGAGAAGAAAATAGCGAGCTTTGGCATTGGACAAAAGCTTTTTACAATGGTTTCTAGCAATATTTAACAAACAACTGTTTTCTGGAGAATTGCTTTGCTGATAGATATGGGAGTTAATGGTTTAGATTGGAAATTGCAGCAGCACATTGTGAGGTCAACAAAAGAGAAGGCTTGTTGAGAGAAAATAAAAGATTCCATGGCAGTCGGAATCCAAGAAATTACATAAGAAGCACTTTTGTCAGCAGGAAGATGAAAGACTTCTATCCTAGGGCCATCAAAAAGAAAATCACAAAATAGTCTTAGTCACCTTTAATTGTAAGAGGTGCGATGATAGGGGGATTCTGACAATGTAAAAGAATGAGATGATAGTTTTAGAGAGATCAAATCGTGATCAGAAACACCTAAAGGTGCATGTGGAAAAACTGAGCACTGACTAGGATCAGAAACAAGACATAAGTCGAGTAGAGAAGACAAATGATTATCTGGAAAGCGAGTTGGAAAGTTGACTATTTGCGTTTAAGATTAAGAAAGGCAAAAGTCGTGGGTCTTAAGGCCTGCAGAGTCACTGATACTAGAACCAAGCTATTCAGTGTAATGATCAATAAAGTCACCAACAACAATATTGGTTGAAGGATAAAGATAAAGCGTTTGTTCAATTTGATAAGAAATATTGTCAAATAGATTGGGATTTTTGAGATAAATGAGAGTGATATAGAACAAAGAGAAAAGTGATAGAGTGACAAATGGGTGAATTCATTTGAATGCAAATGCCCAGGCCAAGCATGTAACTATTGGAGTCTTTACAAAATAAAGGAATATAACCATCAACACTAAGAACACAGGATGAGACAGCTTAACTTAAATCTCACAAAAAGCAAGTAGGTCTGGAAAACTTTGCAAGTGATAAGACTCGTCAGAAGAAAGGTAGCTTAAAAGGCCACAGATTTTCTTGAATGATTTTTTGAGATTTTAAGAACTTCGTAATGATGATAGGTTTTTTTCAATTGATTTTGATACTTTAGTTATTTTTTAAATTGGTTAAAGAAATTGACTCGAAGTGCAGGTAGTACTCAGTATACTATCTAATAGTCCTAACCGCTGCCACATTATCATTAATAAGCCCTAAGCCATAATAAAGAGCTCCAAATGTGGCCTTGACAATGCAAACCAAAAGTATGAACAAGGCTTCAGAGCCATAAAACTAAGTTGTAGAGCTGTACCCTCATTTGGTGATGATAGAATGAGTTGCCTAGTCATAAAAACATAAGCAAAACCCATGCAATGAGTCAAGAAGATCTAGTATTCGATATCCTAAACTGGAAACAATGTATTATAAATGCATCTACGCCAGCCTAATAGATGAAGAAGGGGTACAAAGCTGATCAACAAATAGAATCTGTCTACCTCTAAAGTCTTTGCCTAGTAGGCCTTCAACAATACAGTAGCTGGGCGCAGGTAACTTTTACCCAAGATGAGTATTTTTATTGAGACGCCATTTCTAGCATTTAATCAATCAAAGAGCATCGTAGCAGGGGATTTTTAAGTTGGAGTTTGTTTCTCCTAGACTTTGCCTAAATAAGCAAATGCTAAAAGGTAGCAGGGCATGGGACAGGTAGTACTGGGTTACATGATACCAGTAGCAGGGTGGTCGTGATGATCCTGAACCTGACCTGACCTAAAACATATATTTTATTTATAAGTTTAGTTAATTTTACTGCTTATGTTTATTTGCATTTTTTCTATGTATGTACTAGAATATCAAAATATACTTTAGACGAATACCTATGAATTTAGTACCAAATTCGTTTGATGGATTATCAAATTTTATTATTGAGCATTATAAAAAGAAAGTAAGGACATTTTATTTTATGTGTTACTTTTTTAATTTTATATGATATTTATATTGCAGTGTTTTTTATTTTATGTTTTTTTATACTGCAGTGTTTATTTCATATTTAATGGTAATGCTGTTTATTTTTTTATTGTGTTTTATGAGATTTCTTTTTTATTTTATTTTCCAATAATCATTTAAAATACTTTTAGGATGAGATATATGATCACTTTGTTAAGAATAAAACTTTTCCTGGACTTCGTGTTCCTCTTCCACGGAGAAAATTAAATTTGATATTTTTTTCTATATGGAACATTTTTGTTTCTATTTTTGCATTACTGTGGCTTAAACACTGTGTTCATCTTTATGGTCAAGCAATTGTCTCAACTATTTTGTTCTTATTTTTGTTTGGAGGTAGAATTTTTTAAATTGTTTTATTTTTATTGTTAATATATTAATTGGTATAGTATACTTCATTTAGTATAATATTGTATACTATAAAGAACAGACTTTATTTATGTAAGGTAATGATGGATGCAATCAAATCAACACTTTGCAGACCTTTTATATAGTGCAGTATGATCAAACATAAAATAATTATAAATAAAAATAAATATTTTATAATATAAATATAAATAATAATAAGTATTTAATAATAAAGAAATATACAAGTAAATATTTTGTCAGGATAAATGCAATTTGCATCTATTTGCATCTGCCTTTGCATTAACCATATCTTTATACTGTTAACACTGAAAGTGTAAATATAGCATATGTGTGTAATACACATAAGGTAAATAACATAACTACAAAAGTGTTTAATTTATTTTTTAAGTATATTTTTATATTGTATATATTATCTGCCATATGTAATTTTTTTAATATGGCAGATAATAATGGGTTGTGTGCACTTATAGATGGAGAAAATATTAAGATCTAGTACATAAGATGACTGGCTGTAAAAAAGTTCTTAATGATGTTTTAAAAAAGAACCAGATCAATATTCTACTTTGTTTTGTAGAAAAGTCATCTGAAGGTGATATCAAAACTTCAATGGTGATACTAAGTTTAAGAGAAATATCAAATATAACTTAATAATCAACCCATAATGTTAGCATACACTCTTAAGATGAATGGTTCTTCAAAGAATCCGTAAGGGTTCTTTGAAGAACCATTTGGCTTAAAAGTGATGACGCTCGTGGAGCGTTGACGCTCGTGGAGCGTTGACGCTCGTGGAGCACCCGTAGAGGTTCTTCGAAGAACCATTTGAAAGGGTTCTTCGGAAGAACCTTAAAGTAAGGTTCTTTAAAGAATCTTTAAAGGTTCTTCGCATTGACGCTGGCGGAGCACCCGTAGAAAGAACTATTTATAAGGGTTCTTTAGAAGAACCTTAAAATATGGTACTTTAAAGAACCCGTTATAGTTCTTCATCGAACAGTTCATTGTTTTTGCATTATTGTTAACGTTGCACAGATACTTTTTTGAGTTCTTGAACATTTTTATTATCAAATATTTATATAATATATAATTATGTAACAGATTTTTAATATTTAATTATTCTTATTTAAGATATTTAAGCAAGTTGCTTTACGCCAAAATTAAAATGTAAACAACGACTTTCCTAAAAATTTAATTTATATTGCAATATAAGGCAATAAAGAAAAGAAAAACTATTTTTAAACAATTAATATAAATATAATATTTTCAAACAGTTAACAAAAATTTTATTTTACAATGTCTATGTTAATAAAAATATGTCATCAATTATAAAAAAAGTTTTCTAGTGTTAAATCCATTGTCCAATATATAAATGTTTTTGCTTGAATTTGATGTACGAATAAACGTGAGATTTCTAAAGTCGCATTCTTTTGAAGAATCGTCTAAAATTCAGTAATGGAATGAATATATATAAAATCAAATGATTTAAACCAATCAACCAACCAAACCAATCAATCAAACAACCCTGTTTACAAAAAAATTTTAATTTGCTATTTATACTATTTTAAATAATTGTTTTATTAAACAAATAATAATCATTAAAAAATTATTAAGAGTTGACTCTCTTAAGATTATTATTCCAGTTTCCCTTTTACTGTGCTTTAAATAACAAAATATTCACATAAAAAACATTACATGCAAGAAAAAGTTATTTAAAACACAAGTTTCTTGGATATAGGTTTAGCCTTTTTGTAGTATATATATATATATATATATATATATATATATATATATATATATATATATATATATATATATATATATATATATATATCCTGTCCGAGCACTTATATAATTGAAAATAAATAGAAACTTCAATTTAACTAGTTACTTTTTGTCTAAGTTCTGAGAATCCTTTAAGTTCTAAGTATAAGCAAACATCTTCTACACTCCAGTTTAAATAATCTGCCACTTTTTAAGTTTAAACAAATGATATATTTATTTATCTAAACAAAACCATTCGCAATATACAATGATATATCTATTTATAATATGCATAATAAAAGCATATAGAATGCCTACAGAATGCCAGCTCAAGACCTTGCCTGAATGTGCTAAACATGTTGTCAATCAAAAAATTAGGTTATATAAGAAGAAAAACTAAAACGGTTAGATGCATATAAAAGTATAAAGACAAAATGTATGTGTGTAAATATATACATACACACAAAAAATAATATATTTTGAGCATTTTGAGAATAAGATTAAGGTTGCGGATTAACCCATTCGGGTACGGAATTCGGGTACAAAATTACTACTTTTTTTAAAAAATGTTAGTTTATGTCAAATGCCTAAATTAAATGGTTATATTAGGGACAAAATTTTTAAAATGAGCTAATTTTGGTGTTTAAACAGAAACGTGTATACATAAACAAGAAATAGTTATGTTTATGAAATTGCTTTAGGAAATTTACCTTTTATCGATGAGTATTAATTTAGTTAATAATAGTAAAAAAATATTTTATCAATTTGTTGCTCAATTTGTTTTAGAGCTTCTTTTGTTCCCAGATTTAAATCATCACAATTTTTTGAAAGTATCTTTATTTGTCTTAAGTATAAACATATAAATGTTTAGAGTTTTCTCCATGTCTGGAAGTTAGCATCAAACACAAAAAAATGCTAATTTTCTTAATGAAAATCTTAACGATTTGTTTTATTTTATTTTTAGTTCTATTTTATCACAAGTTCTTCTAGATCATTCATAATTTACAACCATTTAAATTTAGTTGTAAGCAAAAGAAAAAAAAGTTTTTCCTCGTAGAGTCCGAAATTTTAGCAAAAATTAAAATACCTAACTTCAATAAAAATCAGCGCGCAAAGTGAAATTGACCTACTACTACAATCAGATAAATTAGGCGTAACTTATGGGCAATCCTATTTTAAAAAAAACTCAAAAACGAGATAATGAAACGATTGCAATGAAATGGAACGGTTTTTTAATTTGTCGACTAAGGAGGAGCGTTCGTTTAGCGATGAGCGTTCCCGCTCTACTTTATCTCCTGTGTGTATATCTATATATGTCCCCTGTGTGTTTATGTGTGTGTGTGTGTGTGTGTATATATATATATATATATATATATTTATATATATATATATATATATATATATATATATATATATATATATATATATATATATATATATATATATATATATATATATATATATATGTATGTATTGTTTAGATAAAAAATAATATTAGTACCTAAAGTTTCATGCCATACATAGAAATTCAATCAAAGTTACTTATAGCTGTATGCAAAACGTAAAATTCATAACTAGTTCACTTAATCACAAGATTTTGCACAGTGATACAATATTAATATTTATTAGATTGGATGACACTAGCCCATATAACCACTTTCTAAATGGTTTTTCTACTGTTATAAAACATACTGAATAAAAAAGGTTTCATTTAAGTGACGCAACATAAAACATGGCGGTCTCTTTAGCCAACAGTGCCCTTTATGGTTTTTTAAATCTTGCAAACAAAGCCAATAATGTTTAATAAAGTTTTAGTTATTTGAATTTAGTTTGAAATTTATTTTTTCGAATTTATTTTGAAATTTAGTTTGTTTATAGTTTTAAAAAAATTTAATTTGTTTATGTTTTACTTTTTTTTTTTAGTATATTTATTATTTAAAACTATGCAAAATTACACTCGAACTAATAAAGGAAGTAAGTTTGGATTGAAAGAAAATTAAAAGTGGAAGAAATCGAGATATCAAAACTGAAAAATTCTTTTAGCATTATATTGAGAAATGTTAATTAAGTAAAATTTTTCCAAAAAATTTTGAATATAAAATCGTTTTTCATTTGCAACTATTTAATAGATTTTGTAGTTTGTATTTTTATTATTTTTATATTTACTTATTCTTTGTTAAATCCAGGTATCACCTCGGTTTCCAGGTATCACCTCGGGTAGTTATTGTTTTTTGATTAATAAATTTTTTTTTTCTTGAGCTTATATCTGTTTACGTACTGTTTCAAAATAGACATTTCACGTTTACGCACTGTTTCAAGATAGACATTTCATGTTTACGCACTGTTTTAAAATAGACACTTCATGTTTACGCACTATTTCAAGATATGTTATTTAAATAGTTCGTTGTATTTTTATTAATAGGTTATTGTACTTTTAGTATTTTAAGTTCTAAAAGTATTTGTGAATAAATTTTCAATCTTTTTGTTTTATATAATTCGTAAATAGTTATTAATATTATTATACAATAAACGATCATAAAATATATTACATTTAAAAGCTATTTAAAAGTGAAAAAACATGCTTTTCAGAGCACAGTAGGCAGGATATTAGACATGGTAGACATGTTTTTTTTTCTTTCTTCCTTACTTAAGTAATGTCTAAACATGTTCTCTATGTTGCTAGTGTAACAAACTTAGAAAATAGAACTAACTCTTCTGTTCTTATAAAAATATTACTGTGAACAAAATTAATATAACCATTCGGCGTCATTACCCCTAGTCTGGTGGAAAAAACTTTGAAAACAAGTTTGTGTACTAACTTATAACTAAATGAAAATTTATTAACAGATGTAAAACCCTTTCATCATTTTCATCATTTCATTGACGCTCGCAGCGTTTTAATCAAATTGATATTTGATATCTCTTGAATTAAATTTTTATATAATGAAATTTTAAAGTCTATAATTATGATCTCTCTACATAAATATTTTTTAATTTTTAAAATCTTTTACCCCACATGGATGATACCATAGTTTATAGACCTAGCTGTTTTTGAAACTCGTAAATTCTTTAGTGCATCCTATTGACACAAAATTAGAGCGTAAATCAACGTTATATTTTGCTCATAATATATGGATTTTTTTGTATGATAGGATGTCGTGAATATATTCTTAAAACTAAAGGCAGTAATTTGTATGGCTTCTCTACTCATTCGTTATACATTTACTATGCTTTGAATCCAATATAACATTTAATTTATTGCGAAACAAAAGCAAACGCTAATGTCATCTAAAAAATAAACTTTAACAAAAGTGATCAGCAATATTAGAATAAATAAAATTCGTTTAATAAAATTCATATGATTCAAACAACTGTGCAGCCGTGGCGCATGGGTTAAACCGTTTTAGAAGCAAGAAGTCCAGGTTCGAAACAAGCTCCGGACATACCTTCGCGTCACGGTTAGGAAGGAGGCGTGAACTTCCTGGTTAAATGCACTTCTGCGGTGCTGTGACAAAACCGTTAAGTTTTTTTGGGGCGCCTAAGAAAAAAAAAATTTACCTAGTTTGATCATTGAGATTAATTTGAACGATAAAATTGAATAACTGAATATCGTGTTATGAACTCCATGATTGTATGGAAATATACAACAAAACCTACAGATGCAAAAATGTTTATCATATTTTTAAAATGCTAGAAATTTTTTTATTTATTAAACCATATGCTTATAAATACTATGCACAATTTTTTAAATTATTTCTAAATTATATATATATATATATATATATAAATATATATATATATATATATATATATATATATATATATATATATATATATATATATATATAAAGAGAGAGAGAGAGAGAGATAAATAGATTTAAATATAGGGTAACCTGGGACAAAGCGAGACACTTTCAGGGAGAATGTTCATAACTTGAGATGTATCACGTTTCACGACATAAAATTTTGCAGGCCACTAGCACTTGTGTTTAACGATATCTTAAATATTTGTGGTGATAGGTTGTTGCATTGGTACACAATTAAACTCAAAATGGCTACAACTACCCTGTCTCACTTTCCCCAAAACCTGGGGCAAAGTTAAATAGATTTCATTAGAAGAAAAAACTTAGTAAAAATATAACTTTCAATAAAAATTGAAGCAGATTTTGATAAATTCGATCTGATAAAATATAAGAACGCAAATAAAAACACAAAGGTATGTAATTTTTCCTTTTAAATCAAACAACATGATAGAAAAAATTATCAATCAAAAATATAAAATTAAAATAAAAAATAATATCAATGAAAAAAATGCATATGAAAAGTTTATGTTTGTCAACAAATTTGAATAAAATGTTTACACTTAAAAAGCAAATATCGTTTAATGTACAGTCTTCGTTTACCCAAACAGTACATACACAACAAACTATCCAGTCGATTCGGGTATTATTGCACTATTTCCCTTGACAAACTGGACAAAGCCATTCCTTTTCATTGTTTACATCTTTTTTAATCAAGTATTTTATTAATTTTCTTTTCTTTTTGTTCTTTTTTATATTTCTTTTACTTAATTTATTGTCATTGTTCTTTTCCAGTAACTTTTTTTTCTTATTGTTCTTTTTTTTTTTTTTTTCCTTTTGTTTTTTTCTCATTGTTCTTTTCATAAAATGATAGCAAGTTAAACTTACGAAGTTTATAAATTTGCTATCGTAAACGTTTACTTTGACAATTTATTAAGTTTATAAACTTGCTTACCTTAACATTTACTTTGACAATCTTTTTCAGTTAGTAGCGTTGTCGTACTTTCACGTAAATGTGAAGTTATATATTTCTTAAATATCTTTGAAACAAAATAATCTGACATAAAAAGAAGAATGGGAGCTGAAAGATAACAAATAAATGATTACAAACTTAACAATATGTTTGTTCTGTGATTAAAAAAATGTACGTACGTGGATTTTTTCCAAAAAAATTAATTTTAATTTTTTAATCAAATTGACGCAACTCGTAAACTTTAAACCCACTTTTCTATGTCATATAATAGGAAAAAACTGATGGTAATTACTTTAAAACATTAAAAAAACATGAAATTGTTAATATAATAAACCAAAATTACTGTAGCATTTCAAAAGTTTTTTTTTTTTTTTTTTCTTTTTCTTCGCCAAAAGTTGCGTTTGCACCTGTTCTTTGTTTTTAGTTTTCTGAACAATAAGCTAAATTTTTGCGCTCTGACACAAACTATATTAGTAAATTATATATCCATATATTATATATAAAATACATATAAAAAAGTTATATATAAACATATACAAATAATATAAAGAAATTAAATTGTTTGTTTAAAATAAGTTATTTGTCATAATTGTAACAAATAAATTTGCAATAATTGTAACAAATAAATAAACATAAAAACATCACTGATATAAAAAAAAAAAAAAAAAAAAAATTCATCTGTGATGACTAATTTAACACCAGCTCAATTAAAGCAAGTCGAGGACGCAATTAAAAAACTTATTCATGCTGAAACTGCGAAATGGTCGGCCAAAATATCTGAACTAGAACAAGTAATAAAGCAACAACAATTAATAATAGATAAGCTAATCCAAAATCCAAATGAGCTAACTAATACCACAACCAGTAGTATCGAATCCAGCTGGGTTACAGTTGCAAGCAAAAACATAAAAAAAAAAGCAGCCTATTGAACAACTAAAAATTATCAACACATTTGCCATTGAGCAACAGCAAAAAAAGAAGCGTGAAAAAAATGTTATTATTTATGGCATTAAAGAATCTGCAAAGTTATCAGTTGCTGATAAGCATATCGACGATAAGGAAACGGTTCAGAATATCTTAGTTACTATTTCATCTGATGCAAAACCAAAATCTGTCAAACGTATTAAATCTACGTCCTCTAAACCAGGACCAATTATCGTCGAACTTTCTGATGTCTCCGAAAGAAACCCATTATTAACAGCAGCAAAAAAATTGAAAAATTCAGATAATTATAAAAATATTTTTATAAGCCCAGATTTGACTGAGGCTGAAAGATATTTAAACTATCAGTTAAGAATGAAGCGTAATGAATTAAATAGTAATATCAATTTAAAAACATCGCCCTTTAGATACGGTATACGAAGCAGCGGAGTCGTCAAACTCAAAAATATACAAACCACTACATAAACATTACTACCCTTCTTCCACTCTTTTACCAGCAAACTTAAAATACAAAAGTAAAAATCTTCATAACAAAAAAACAAACTATAGCGTTAATTGTTATTATACTAATGCTACATCTCTCGATAATAAAATGGCCGATTTAATTTCAATATCTAGAACGTTTGATTATCACGTTATTGCTATCTCTGAAACATGGTTTCGAAATGACTCAGTACCTAATATCGATGGGTATAGCCTATATCGTAAAGATCGTCAAGACGGACGTCGAGGTGGCGGTGTAGCTATCTACATTACAGACGTATTTAACTCTCATGAAGTTAACCAATTTTATACAAATCTTCTCGAACAAGTCTGGGTATCTGTAAAATTTAACAACAAACATATACTTATTGGTTGTATATACAGACCAAATGATGCCAGTTTAATAAAATATGTCGCTGAATCCTTCAAATTAGCTCATAGTTTAATTAAAAAGCCCTATGATGACTGTTTGATTGTCGGTGACTTTAACTTCCCGAATATAAAGTGGTCTAACGATGGTATTGAATCTTTTAACCCAAACAATCCTACCGAGTATGATTTCTGGAATATTTTCCAAAACAGCCTTTTTACTCAACATATCACATTTCCTACTTTCCAGACTGATTATGGTTCCTCAAATAATATGTTGGACTTGTTATTTACCTACAACAGTAATTCTATTTTAAACTTGTCTCCTAGTACTATACTAGGTAACACCACTAAGGGTCATTTTAGTATCACTTGGAGATTCTTAGTTTCAGAACTGTTTACCGAAAGTGAATCTCAATCGTTTAATTACAAAAAAGGTGATTACGATTCAATATCTAACTTTATTGCATCAATCGACTGGGAGTTTTTATTCCTGCATAAAACTGCAGATCAAATGTTCAATATACTAATTTCTAACTATCGCACTGCTTGCACATATTTTATTCCCAAGATTAATAAAACAAAAAAAAAGTATGATCCTTGGGTTACCCCACATATTAAAAACCTGATCCGAGAAAAAAAATCCGCTTGGCATATAAACTGCTCTACCAAATGGGAGAATAGTGAGCTTAAAATAAAATACAATCGCCTAAATCGTTCAGTAAAAACTGAAATATTTAAAGCAAAAAAAGCACATGAAAAAGAAATAATATCAAAATCCCAAAACAACCCAAAAATCGTTTACAAATATATCAACAAACAACTAAAAATTAAAGATAGAATTCGCTCTCTCAAAGATACTTCAGGCAGAATTATTGAAGCTCTTCCTGATATAGTTGATCTTCTGAACTCTCAATTTAAATCTATGTTTACACATAGGAACTTGCCGATCTAAAGCCTTATAAATCCTTCGGATCTGACGGCTTGCATCCCTTAATACTCAAGATATGTGCCAAAAGCTTTGCAATTCCATTAACAAAAATCTTTCATAAATCCTTTAATTCTGGAGTAGTACCCACTCAATGGAAATTAGCAAATATTAGTCCAATCTATAAAAAAAAGGGAGATAAATTACTTGCTGAAAACTATAGACCTATTTCACTAACATCTGTTGCCTGTAAAATCTTTGAAAAACTTGTAAAGAAAAAAATTTTAAAGCACATTAACGATAATAAAATGCTCTCTGCAAATCAACATGGCTTCCTTCATCATAAATCATGCGTAACTAACCTAATAGAAACTTTTGATATCATTTCGTCCTCCATAGCATCTCACCAATTTATTGATGTAATCTATCTTGACTTTGCCAAAGCGTTTGACTCTGTACCTCACAACAGACTTTTGTTAAAATTAAGATCTTTCGGAATAAACGGCAAACTCCTACAATGGATTAAATCTTTTTTAGTGGGCAGAAAGCAACGCGTTACAATTAACAATACCAGCTCTGCATGGGTTGATGTTCTCAGTGGTGTTCCTCAAGGTTCTGTTCTCGGCCCGCTCCTCTTCATTCTCTACACAAATGATCTTGCAAAACTCACTGAAACTTCTGAGATATTTGCCGATGATACTAAACTTTTTTCTAAAACCTTATCGCAATCTAATTTTGTTGATCTGCAGGATCGTCTACGCTTGGTATACGAGTGGTCAAACACTTGGTTACTTAAGCTAAACACTTCAAAATGCTGCGTCATTCATTACGGTCGAAACAACCCCCATTACAATTACTTTCTTCAAAATAACCAAGGAATCAACCAATCTCTAAGAAGCTCTACTAAAGAACGTGATTTAGGAGTCATTTTTACATCTAACCTCAAGTGGAGCGCTCATATTCAAACAGTTGTCTCTAAGTCCTTACAAATTCTCGGTATGCTGAAAAAGACATTCACTTTCATTGATGAAAAAATGGCTCTCAAATTATATAAAGTATTTATAAGACCACATCTTGAATATGGAGTGTCCATTTGGGCTCCTTTTTTAAAAGCTGATATGGCTTTGGTTGAATCTGTTCAACGCAAAGCTACAAAATGGGCTTACAGCTTGAGGCATCTTCAATACTGCGAAAGGCTAAAAAGATTAAACCTACCATCTCTTGAGTTTCGACGCCTTCGATGCGATTTAATCCAAATTTTTAAATTAATACATCGTTTTGATATAGTTAATGATAAATATCTACCAAAATATATTAACTCCGTGTCTCGTGGTCACCATTCTAAAATAAGGCGTGAGTATGTTCTAAACTGTCTTCCAAGATATAATCATTTGTATAATAGATCAGCAAAATACTGGAACAATCTACCAGAGCAAATAACTTTGTACTCCTCTGTACTTTCTTTCAAAAATAGACTAGACTCCTGGTTGTGGAAAAAGTTTGGAACAAATATTTATAAAACTGGTTGTTTATAGTGGGGTGTTTCCCCTGCTCGCTGTATGTGTACATTCTATGTAAATTTACGGCTACAACTATAATAATAATAAAAAAAAAAATCTGTAAAATGCTAGAAAGCCTAATGTCTCACTTTGCCCCGGTGTCTCGCTTTGCCCCAGGTTACCCTACATATTAAATTTTTGTTCAATAAATTCAGAGTTTTATTTTATTTTAAATAAATAGGTTTAAAATTTGGAATAGTACATATATGATATCTACCAATATGACCAAAGAACAGACTAATGTGCTACTTTGTTAATATCTTTTTTCGAAAAGTGGTTTCCCTCAGAAAAGTCAATAAAGTCTAGAAGTTATTTTGTTATTAAAGGTTTCGTACTTTAACATTTGAATGAAATAAAGTCTTCTTTAGAAATAACATAAAATTTCCTTTAGAAATAGAACGAAATCTCTTTTAGAGCATTCCATTTCTATTTTTGAAAACAAAATTAACACAAATTTTTTGTCAACTTCATACTGTGATGCTTGCTTTAACTTTAGTAGGATTTTATAATAGATAAATAAAAAGTATGAGTTTCATCATAAACTAAAAATAAAAATAAAGAAAAAACAGCTCAGTAGTGAATTTTGATAACCGATTGTGAATTTAAATTCAATAGAGACAATAACAAGATGCCGTTTAATATAACTTATATATTATTTCAAGCTTTTTACTTTAAAAAAAGTGATGAAGTTATGAGTTTTAACAATAAAAGAAAATAATTAATTATTTAGTTTAATACTAGGAAATTACAAAAAAATAACGGGAAAAATAAGTTTTGATGTCTGTAACTTTTAACAAATAAAAATTGAGTTCTAAATCTTTCTTAAATTAAAAATTCTTTATCAAATTTTTATAAAGCAAAAAAAAAATTTTATCACGTATTTTTTTTTTCTTTTAATGAAAAATGTTTCCATTAAAGATATTCTTGTTGTTAATAAAATTAATATATGAAATTCGCTCGGAAGATGCGCTTCTTGAAGCTGTATTTTGGGAACAAGTGCCTTTCATATTTACTAACTCTGACGGAAATATTGACGGCATCATACCGAAAATGTTTAACGAAGGAGAATACTATTGTCTTAATGAAACAAATAAAAAGTTAATTTCATTTAAAACATCTCTTTCCACGAGAGACGAATTTCAAAATCTGTTACACTCAGATAGCAATGGAGAAAAATATGGAATGCTAGAAATTACAAATGAAAAAGCAATCTGGTTTCCAGATGATCTATACAACGCCACAAATAAAAGGCGGGAAAATAACAAAGGCTTACGATCGTTCCAAATAATGAAATCAGAAGGTCTTGCTGTCATTATGCTCCGTGATAAAATATCTCTACCTTCAAAAATGATGCGTGGTATTTATTCCTGTCGCCAGATTCTAGTTTTGACCTTGATGCTTGCATTGCTTTTTGGAATTGTTATCTGGTTTATTGAATGCACTTACAATAAGGAGTTTTCATTATTTTTTGTTAAGGGAGCAGCAACAGGACTTTGGTGGAGTGTGGTTTCTATGACTACCGTTGGATATGGGGATATTGTGCCAAAATCTATTCCGGGCAAAGTTATAGCCTGCATTTGGTTATTTATTGGAGTAGTTATTGCTTGCCTCATGACAGCAACAGTTAGCGAAGTTATCAATGGTTTGGAGGGTCTAGATATATATAAACAGAAAGTCTCCGTGCTTGATAACTCATACGAGCTTAAAGCTGCTAAAGAAATGTATGACGCTGATGTAGTGCCCGTAAAAACATACGAAGAAGCTTTGAAGTTAGTAAGAGAAGAAAAGGTTTTTGCAGCTCTCATGAACGTCGACGTTGCGGCGTGGAGGCAAAATGAGATAATTGACGATAGTAATGAGTTCCCCTTACGTATCGTTAACGTAGTTAAAGCGCATTTATACATTAACTTTCTTATCTCTAGAAGTTTGTCTAAATCTGCTCGAAAGGTATTCAACTGCATGAATGAACAAAAAGACGAAGTTTACACCAGATCAATCGAATATTTTCAACGAATTTGCAATACAGAAACTTTGTATGTTGATTCAATTACCGAAATGTTTCAGAAGAGCACACTGTATCAACTTATTTTAGGATTTTTAGTTGTTCTTATATGCTTGGGATTCGGCTTTGAGTTGTTTATGCGACGAAAGAATCGTAATAAAAAAGAAGAAAACTTTGATCAACTTTAAAGTATTTTTTTATGTTAGCAACTGTTGACTAATAGTTTTAAATGCAATTATTTATTTTATGAATGGAATATTTTACCCCTATTAACATGAAACAAATTAATGGAGTAATTTAACATTGTTAACATGAAATAATTTATCATTTTAAAGAATTAATTATTATTATCATTAACTAATTTATTATTATATTTATGAGACAACATATTACTATAAATTTGTATATATATATATATATATATATATATATATATATATATATATATATAAAGAAATTATTAACAAGAATATCATATAATAAAAATCTACAAATGTTCTAATATACAAATAAATATTGTAAAGAGTCATCACTATTCAAAGAACGCGGGAAATTTGCAAAAGACGGATGGTCTTATCATTAAGAAACCGCTCTTTACTATTACATATATTTTGTATACTCTCTTTACAATAAAATCATATTTATAAACTAAGTTTTGTCTTCAGTTTATTGTCAAGTTCGGATAGCATGAAAATTAAAAGAATTCAAAAAAAAATTAAAAAATCATAAACAAACATTTTATTTGGAATCATATAAATATGAACATGATTTATACAATATTTTTTTTTTTTTGTTTTTTTTTGTTTTTATTTATTCAAAATAAGTTTTACATTATAAGAATGAATAAGATTCATAAAATACATATAGTAAAAGTTACAAACTTTGTTAGCGTTAAAATAAGAAGAACGCGGATACTCGCAGAAGATCATAAGATCTTGTCATCGAGAACCGCCTAAACAGATTTTAAATAAAAAATAATCCTCTAATAATTCATATATAAATATTCACACTTAAATAAAAATATAATTTTTTACACATTTAATTCTATAAAAACATACAAATATATATACTTACACATTAGGGTGGAGTGAAAAAACCTTTTTTTAGAAATTCATTTAAGCTGGGTATGGAAAAGTTGCCTTTGGGTACAAAATGAACTGTGGTAAAAGCATTTTACCCTAGATTAATATTTAGGTCTGCCCCAAGGCACTTGAAAATTTGAGTTTTTTGTTAATTTCGCAATTTTTGGTTTAAAAAATAATAATTTCCTATCATTGCAAATTTATGTTGGCTGGGTATGCAAAAGTTGCTTTTTAGTTCAAGGTAAACTGTGGTAAAAGCATTTTGCCCTAGGTTAATTTTTAGGTCTGCCCCAAAGCTCTCGAAAATATGGGTTTTTCGTCCATTTTGTGGTTTTTGGCGAAAATTTAATAATTTCCTATAATTGCAAATTCATGTTGGCTGGGTATGCAAAAGTAGCCTTTTAGAACAAGGTAAACTGTGGTTAAAGCATTTGGCCCTAGGTTAATAATTAGGTCTGCCCCAAGCCACTTGAATATTGAGTACTTTAATTTAAATCCATACAAAACCAATTTCGTACATATTTCAGATTGTTTATAGGCATATTAAATAACATTACAAATGTATAATATATCCAAGAACTTCACAGTTCTTTAAATCTTTATAATTGAAACTGAGACTTAGTGTTGAAAGTTTTTGTCTTTGATCTCGATTCCAGTGTGGCACGAATCATTCCATCTCTGCAATCAAAACCGCAAATAGTAGCTGATGCTTCAGTAACAAGCTTAACGTGTCTTTCAGTTGACTGAGTGTGACATGGAAACTCTGGAATGTTTAAAACTGGTTCAGTCAATGAAACACCATTTAAAAATAACTTTATTTCATGAGTTGAGATGTTCTTTGTAGCAGGGGGCTCGCTTTTCTGGACAACACTCCAATCGATTAGATTAGTGTAGTCATCTGCTTCGAAATTAAGTTTCGGCACACGAAAGCGTCTTAGTGACTGACTGTTTTTTTCCGTTGCACCAAGGATTCTTCTGAATGCCAGTTTCCTTATGTGTTCGCGCTCATCAGTCAACATTGCAAGTAGGATGTTTTCGTAATGACTGAAATAAGCATTTCTCTGAATTACCTCATCCACAATACATCTTAAGTCATTTTTAAGGTACCTTGAAAAGTTTATCATTCTCCATAGATGGAGTGCCCCTTGAGTACAAAATGATTTCGTCTTGATATAAAACCAAGTAGGAGCGTAAACTTTAACAACAAATGTTGCAAGAGTCACTAGATTTTCAGTTGGAAACATATAACCGCAGAACTCTGCTAGCTGTTGTCAGCCAGCGCGAGTGAACTACAGGACCTGGAGTCTTATTTGCCAGATTTATTGGGCATTCACCATTATTTACTGCGTGGCACATTTTAATATAAATAAATTTGATCTGTGCTTAAATCTTTAAAATTTACATCTGGAAAACTATTCATCTCTATAGTTGAAAAATGCTTTACAGGAAAAGTTTCACAGATTGGAAGTAATTTACCAATTGGACCTGAGAAAGCCTCAAGTAAACAGATGACACCTCCCAACGCACCAGTGTTGACATTCGTGCCATCACAACTGACAGCTACTAAATTGTCTAGTGAAATTCTATTCGAATCACAGAAATCTACTATGCCATATGCTATCTTAACTGATTCTCCATTTTCAGGGCTTATGTGACCGACATATATTGAATGGGGCTCTTGAGTTAGTGTAACATGTTCTTCTGTAACTATTTAATAATAATACTTGGAACCTTTCTGGAGTTGCATTTTTGTTTTGTCCTTCCTACCATCGAAGTACAAACCTGTTAGATTAGAGGCAAGGTGGGATTGAAGTTCATTTCAAACCTTCTGTCTTTCTCTTCGAATTTTACTTCTATCAATAACCATTGTACTGTCACAGTCATTCACGATACCAACGTGAATGACTGTGACACTTTTGACGAAATGACATATCTATCTCTGCAGATAGATATGTCATTTCGTCAAAAGTGACGAAATGACATATCTATCTGCAGAGATAAATGACATATAAATGACATATAGATCTCTGCAGATCTATATGTCATTTCGTCTTTAAGGAACAAGTAATATTTCATCACATCAGCATTTGCGGGAAGAACGGTCTCTGGTAAATATGAAGGATTTCCAAAAATTGGGCAATTGGTACGCAGCCGTGTCTTGTGCTTCTTACAAGCACTAACACCAGCCATTCTTGTTATTTTTGTTCGGACGTCACTCACAGATGCGAGGTTGTTTGAATTTTCTAATCTAAAATAATTTTCTAATCTAAAATAATAATATAAAAATAAAATAATTAATTTCTAACATAATAATTCAAACAAAATAATATAATACTGAAATTTGTAATTATAGGAAATTATTAACTTTTTCTCCGAAAACCACAAAATGCACGAAAAACGCCAATTTTCGAGTGCTTTGGGGCAGACCTAAAAATTAACCTAGGGCAAAATGCTTTTACCACAGTTTGCCTTGTACTAAATGGCAACTTTTGCATACCCAGCCAACTTGAATTTGCAATGATAGGAAATTATTATTTTTTAAGCCAAAAATGCCGAAATTAACGAAATATTCAAACTTTCAAGTGCTTTGGGGCAGACCAAAATATTAATCTAGAGCAAAATGCTTTTACCACAATTCATTTTGTACCCAAAGGCAACTTTTAAACATAAAGCACAATACATTAAAAATATTAAGTTGATATATATTAAGAATATTCATTTCGTTTAAAAGAAGCTTAGCATGATAAAAACGATTTTTAAAATTAATAAGTCGTGCAACATGTTTCTGTTGGCGATAAAGTGGTTCTAATTTAGTTTTGCTAACACTACCCCAAGCCGCATTAGCATAGTTTAGATGGCAATGAACAAAAGAGTGGTATAACTGAACTAAAGTATGTCTATTTAGCATGTTTCTTATTTCGAATAGTATTCCTATACTTTTGGAAATTTTAGATGATAAATTTTCAATGTGTTTTTTCCATGTCAGACTTTCATCAATAAAAACTCCTAAAAAATTTGTAGCCGTTACTCTTTTAATTTGCATGTCATCTATAGAAAGAGCAGGCAATTCACTCGGTAGAAGATACTTTTTGTAGCATGGATGAAAAAGAGACCATTTTGTTTTTTCAATATTAAGAGAAAGCTTATTTAATTTAAACCATTCAGAAATTTTAATTAATTCTATGTTCATACTTTGAAATAGTGTCGCTATGTTGCTATGAGATAAAAAAAAGTTCGTGTCGTCAGCAAACATAATTGTCATTAAATTAGATGCTTCATAGAGATCGTTTATGTATATGAGAAATAGTAGTGGTCCTAGGACAGACCCTTGGGGAACTCCACATGTTATATCTAATAATTTTGATTTCGATGATACGTCATAGTGAACAAATTGCTTTCTATTGCTTAAACAACTTTTTAAAAGCTTCAAAACATTGCCAGAGATTCCATAATATTTAAGTTTTTTAAATAGAATTTTATGATCAATTGTATCGAAGGCTTTAGAAAAGTCAATAAAAATGCCTTAAGTAAACTTGGAATTTTCAAATGATTCAGTAATATATTGTGTTATTTGAAGTATAGCGTGTTCAGTGGAGTTATTTTTTTTAAATCCATATTGATTTTTGTATAGGATATTATTTTGAGAAAGATGATTCAAATTTTATTATAAAGAATTCTCTCTATAATTTTTGAGAAAACAGAGAGAACAGATATTGGACGGTAATTACTAACATTAAGTAAATCTCCACCTTTAAATATTGGTGAAACTCTATCTATTTTTAATTCATCAGGAAAAATTCCTTGTTGAATTGAACATTTAAATATTTTAAAAAGGATATTTTTTATGATATCATAGGAATAAATAACAATGTTTCCATTGATATCATCAGGACCGACTGCTTTATTTTGCTTTAGCATTTTAAAAGCTCTATCAAATTCATCAAAAGACAATTCAAAAGAATTTAGACAAGATACTAAAGGGAAACTACATCTGTTTATTATTTTGTTTATATTAGAAATTTTCTTTGCTAAATTTGGTCCAACTGAAGTAAAGAATTCATTCATTTTATTTGCTACCACTCTCGGATCATAAAATATTTTATTATCAATTTTAATAGCTTTAGGTAGAGAGCGTAAATTTATATAGTATCTTTTTTTTTAATTTTTTCTTTGGATTTCAAATTTTTTAGCGTAATTCTTATAAATTGTCTTACTTTCTAATGTTCTCGTTTTTAAATACTTTATATACAACTTT